ATTTAAGACCATTTTTGAATGTTATATATAGTACAGATTCAAATGTGTCACTACTCTGATTCAGTTGGTCTCTTAATGAAATTGAGGTATTTAAGGTCTTAGTTAATTTGCAGTCTCCTTCCATCTACATTGGACATGAATACAACTGACTTCTCCACATATGAATATATTAATTAGCAAAGAAAAAATGTATTCCTATGATTTAAATCTTTAGGAATATAAATTTTTTATTTTTTGGCGGATACACTAAAAAAGGAAGTTGAAGGCATCAGGGTGCTATAACACTTTGCTAGTTCCTAAATGTGCTCCTATCACATTAATGAAGGACACATTTCTAGCCCTTTTTTTATATTTAATGAATTCTTTTAATATATGACTTCTCTTAGATGGGAGTGATTTCTGACAAAACTCTCATTTCGCAAAACAAGACGTTTCCCAATCACTATACAAAAACAACGTTACAAAAATACCTTCTGACATTTCCATACTGTATCCCAGTAGAGAGAATCTATGAGCCTTTAATACAAGACACTGGAGTCAATCACTACTTATAATGATCACTGCGCTTACAAGTATGGCGTGCCAATTAAATTATTTTTCTATCTTTGAATGGACAGTAGGAATGTTACATTATTCACTATCTTTTATATGAATCCAATCCTTAAGAATAATCTGTCTTTTTCTATTCCACCAGCCAAATGGAGAAATAAGAAATGAAGATACGTTCATTGAAAAACAATCATTATATTTAGTTCAAGGTTTAATTAAATATACTAAATATATCATTAGTAATCCTGAGCCTTAGTTCCTGAGAATTCTTTTACCTTGTATCTACTATCATCCAACACTAAGAAGTCAAATATTATCATTAAATTTAGTATTTACTGTAGCACTCAAACCACTTTTTAGGCTGTTATGTATAGGCTTTCCTTTCTCTACTTGTTTTATCTTTCTCATTATTTTATTGGCTGTCATACTAGAGATTTTTTACCTTCATACACATGAAATGTCAGGGGTTAAAGTGAGAGTGTAATCAGGTGATAAGATGTTCTGCCTTAGCAAGCATGAGGCACAACGTGCAGTTCTCAAAAAGCACCAGATCTTCTGCCTAAAAACAAGAACACAAAACCATAACACACATATTTAAGGACACAAAATTTTTCAAGAGGTCGCATTAGTATATATATCTGAATGTAGTCTATCATTGAATTAACGGCCACAAGTCCCCCAGTTTTATTCCATCAACACATAATCTATGAATGTATCAGGCAAAATTCAACTCCAGTGAAGAGATTAATATATTGTATAGTGTTACCAAAGCCCTTAATCAGCTAGTATATAGACAGGCACTTGTTTTCCACTGATAACTCATGGTGACATCTGGGTACTGCGAATCAACTTGGAACTCAACGAAAATCTAAAAAAGCCAAGGAGATAAGGCTCTCCAAAAAAGGAACAGCAAAGTTGTTTGACTTTTAATGCCCAATAAAAGCCCAATTTATCAGGAGTTTTAACTAAACTTACCTTGCCTCGTTCGAACTTTCTCGATGCCTTGTGACATAACAGGCTTCTGGCTCACATGAATCATAAGAAGTGTACCGAGTCAGGCCATTTGATCGAATGGATCTTACCTCCATCTTGACTGCCAACCCTACAAATGTCAGGACTTGCTAAAGCTCCATACACAAGCCTTATCAGCATCAATTGTTAGCAACTCATCACTTTTGTAAATATTTAATACTGTTAGTGAATAAGTTCTCATCTAAGTAATGATATAAAACAACACTATTAACTCCAAATCAACTTACCTACACACAATAACAACATACCCCAAAAATTATCCTGATTTGAAAGATACATGAACTCGATAATACACATCCGAGGTAATCTGAAAGACCGACAAAAACAAAATTCTAATTTATATCCACCTAATCCACAAGAAAGTTATGGTGATACAATAATTAGCAAATGATTTTTATTAAAAACTCTACAGAAATTTTATTACCATTTACTAATGGAACAATATATAAAATATATATTTCATAGATTAAAACTTCTACTAAGGCTTATTTTAAGAAGACACCATCTACAATACGTTTGAATGGTTGTTAACTTTGAATCTTATAATGTTTGATCTCTTTTGTTCAGATCACTAGTTTTCAGTTATATTTCACCATACATTAAGTTTTCTATACTAGTTTCACATTTTCTAATTAATATGTATTATTATAACCCACACATTTCATAAAATAAAAATTCTAAGTCATAATAAAAATGTATATCGGTCTCTTATATATATCACACAATTTCATTATTTATCATGCAAGTGATGTACCAAGCCACAATCTAGAGAGGGTGTTTTCTTGACACCACAATAAAATCATTAATTAACACAAAAAGTATTTATTGAAATACAAGGATACATTCGGTATTAATTTGACACTGGGTAATAAAATTTACTTTTTTTTGTATAGTGTGGTAGGCTACAGTTTAAATCTTTGGAATTACTATAGGAGGCCTGAGGCAATAGGCTCTGAGGGATAGCGCTTCCTGGGGCTTCCGTTGTTTTCTTTAACTACTTGAGCCCACGTGTCATGGACTAATACACATATTTATAAAACTTTCAAGGAGAGACAAGTTCTTGAGGAGTAATTTGTCAATAAACAAATTAAAAGATGCTTGATCTTATTAGTAATCAGGAAAATGCAAAGTAAACTGAAAGAAGATAGTTCTTCTGCTATTGTTTGAATGTATTCCTCAAAGTTTAGGTGTTGGAAACTTGAGTGCCAGTATGTTGGTGTTAGAGGGTGGGGCCTAATGGTAGGTATTTGGGTGGTGGGAACATTGCTCTTAGGAATGGGTTCCTTATAAAAGGCCAAATTCAGCCAGACAGTGGTGGCTCACACCTGTAATTCTAGCTACTCAGGAGGCAGAGATCAGGAGGATCATAGTTCGAAGCCAGCCCAGGCAAATAGTCTGTGAGACCCATCTCAAAAAACACCGAACATAAAAACAGGGATAGTACAGTGGCTTAAGTGGTAGAATGCCTGCCTAGCAAGCTTGAAGTCCTGAGTTCAAACTCCAGCACCAAAAAAAAAAAAAAAGGCCAAATTCAGCCCCCTCTTGCTGTCCTCTCTCTGCCCTTCTGCCAGAGAGTAGGCCCTAGTCAAACACTGGTCTCTTAATCATGGACTTCTCAGCACCCAGAACCATAAGCCAGTGAATTTCATTACACATTAGCTGTTTGGTAGAATTCTGAAACAGCAGCAAAAAAGAGACTGATAAACCTTCCCACCTACCTGTTTGACAAAAACCTTAAAAGTCTGAGTTTTTCATGGTGGTACACAAGTGTAATACTAGCTACTGGTGAAGCACAAGGCAAGAGAATCTTGAGTTTGAGGCCAGTCCAGGAAAAGTTAGGGAGACTATATCTCACAAACAAAAGGGCTGGTGTGTGGATGGGTGGGGAATGACACTTAAATGGTAAGAGCACTTTGATAGTATGAGTGAGGTCCTGGGTTCAATCCCCAGTGCAGGAAACAAAAATTCAGCCTGACAACATGGAGTGTTGACAAGGATGTACAGCAAGAACTCTTTGATGCATTAGTCATAGGAGTAAATTAACACAACCACACTAGAAAACAATTTGATATCTTCCAATAAAACTGAAATTGTCCATATATGTGTGTGTATGTATGTATGTAAGTTTGTGTATCTCTCTCTATAATATATATATATATATATATATATAAATACAACTCAGAAATTCTAATCAAAATATACACCTGAAAGAAATTCATATGTGTGTACCCAAGAGATATAAGTAGGAAAATACATAAGCACATTGTTTGTACAAAAGATTTCTAAAATGGCCTTTATCAGTAAATTGAGCAAGTAAATTAAAATACTGGTTTATGCGGGATAAAGGAGAATGATGGAGATGGTGAATTCAACTATGATACACTGTAAGAACTTTTGTAAATGCCACAATGTATTTTCAGTATAATAATAAATTTTAAAAAGTCTTTTGCTGCTAGAAAAAAAAATACTGGTTTATATATGAAGTAGTAGGAAGGAGATGAGATATGGAGGGATGTATGGGGAATTTCAAAGGATGACATTCTGTTTCTTATACTGGGTAGTGAGTTGTGGCTATTTTCTATTACTATCCTTATACTTTATACATATTAATGTCTATATTAAAGGCTTATAGCTACCTAATACTTAATTAAAAATTTTAAAGCTATAGAAAATATGTATTTGCTTACTTGGAACATTAACATTTATAAATAACATATTCATCACTAATTCAGGTAAATGAATATTATTACTTTACATTGGCTATTGCCAGAGTCTGAATAATGACTTAAGAAGAAGGTTTCTCCAGAACAGGAAGTGTGGCTCATGGTTGAACGTCTGAAGCATGAATCCATGAATTCAAACCCCAGTCCCACCAAAAGCAAACAAACAACTAATAATGAGAAAATTCTTCCAAAGGATGATGCTACTGAGCTGGAGGTATGGCTCAAGTGATAGAGTTGGTAGAGTGCCTACCTAGCAGACAGGAGGCCTTGAGTTCAAATGCCAATACCACCATAAAGAAAAAACAAAAAAGGATGATGCTAAAAAAGAATACTATCAAATGGGACACTACACATTATTTGAATCTATATGAAATAGTGTCCAATATATTTAAGAGAAAATTATAAAGTTAATATTGTTGATTGATTTTTCTTTTTTCAGAGATCCCTAAAATATCCACGTGTCAAAAAAATTTAAATATCCTTTCACCTCACATTCCCGTGTCTAGTCTAAACTTTAAGTCACTTGAGGGAATCATGAGTATCTTGTTTAGTGTTATGCCCTGCATAGGGCTGGATGCAGAGTAGCCACTTAAACAACTTTTACTAAATTAGTGCTTTAGAGTATTTCCAAGACAAAGATTCTAAAAGTACTTATATCATGAATGATAAAATTACATGAAAGTTATTTTGGCCTACCTGCAATGATAATACTTTTCCTTCCAGATTTTCTGCCTTTTTCTTCCACTCGGCTATAACCTGTTTTTGTTTTTCTAATTCAGCAGAATACATAGCTTTTTCCTCTAAGAAAAAGAAAGTTATATTAATATTTCACAACTATGAATAAAACTGGAATTAAAACTCCTGGAAATTCTAGTAATTCAATAAAACAGTTCAAACTTCTCAATACAAAAAGTACATTTCCTCCAGATCTCAGCTTCCCAAGTAGCTAGGATTACAGGCATGAGCCACTGGCGCCCAGCTAGAGAATTCTTACTTTTAAAATTCAAGCCAGGTGCAGTGGCTCATCCCTGTAATCCCACTACTCAGGCAAGAAAGTTAGGAAACCGCAGCCCTACCCCATCTCAATCAATAAGCTGGGCATGGCAGCCTGGATGCCTATGAGCCCAGCTATTCCAGTTACGTACGAAGCACAGGTAGAAGGACCACGGCCTGAGACTGGCCCCAGGCCAAAAAAAAAAAAAAAAAAAAGCCAGATCAAACTGAAAAAGAACTAAAGTAAAAAGGGTTGGGGCATGGCTCAAGTGGTACAGCACATAACAGAGAATTCAAGATTGCAGCCTATGAGCAACGCTGAATGGATGCCAGGTATAAACTTAAAGTTAACTACAGTTGCTTAAGCACAAAACTATAAACTCCACGCATTACTTCATTATCCTTACATCCTCTAATCATTCCTTCATCCCTCCCCTCCACTATTCAACTAGCAGTGAATTCAATGCCAATAATTACTAAATGCATGAATAAATAAATAATGGCTGGGTGGGTGAACTGAAGTAGGTAAACCTAAGGATGGGAGGTAAAATGTGAAGGACATAATTGATTTTTAGGGTAAAACTGCTCTGGTCACTGCTACTGTGTCTCCAAGAATGTATTTTTTCACTTGGACTAGAAACGAAGTTACCTGAAAGCACAGAAGAATAGCTAAGAACAGTATTGCAAAAGACAGTAATTACTGATGAATAATACTTTGAAGGGAGTTCAACCTCCAAACAGTATCTCAAAATCCAACCATATTTCCCATGTGTGTATTTCTCTTCTTTGTATTTCCCTTTTATCACTTGATCACCCTTCTTCATGCTACTCTTATATTTCCTTAACGTTCACCTAAGATACTAAAACTTGTTGGGCACTGGTGGCTCATGGGTGTAATCCTAGCTACTCAGGTGGCAGAGATCAGGAGGGATTGCCGTTCAAAGCCAGCCCAGGCAAATAGTTTGAGAGACCCTATCTCAAAAATACCCAACACAAAAAAGGGCTGGTAGAATGGCTCAAGTGGTAGAGCAACTGCTTAGCAAGTATAAGGTCCTGAGTTCAAACCCCCATACTGCCAAAAAAAGAAAAAAGATACTAAAATTTTTAAAAAGTTACTAAGTGCACTTTATATTCTCTAGTTGTTTTTTTATAAAAGGAGTTTGAATTAACTTGTTGAGGGCTACTTACCTTCTCTCCACAACAAGTAACCCTTCAAAGATTTGCTTTGCCTAATCTAAATTAGCATTTGAATATGGCAAAATTACCAACAACTGCAATTTTCCTCCACTGAAAGATCACACATCCAACTTACCTTGCTGGAAGTGCTCTAGAACCATCTGCAGGTTGGTTAATGACAGAGCATATTGCTTTACTTGGTCCTGAGAGACAGTAAGCTGCGCTGCAATTTCATCCCTTTGCTTGGAGATGATGTTCAATTGTTCTTGCAATGACTCTACCTGCACACTGGCTTGATGACTTCAAGCAAAATAATAAGGTCAAATTGCTTCTATCTATTTAGATATTTCAACAAGAAACAACACTTTCCCTACATCTTACTCTGTTAAATTCAAGTAACATTTCAAAGTATTTAGATATGCTTTATGACAGAAACATCTTCCCTACAATCTTTTACGATGGTAAAATAGAACTCAAAATTTACCACTTTTCAAGTACACTGTTGGGAGGCACTAAGTACAGTTATGCAATCATCACTACCATCCATCTATCTCTAGAGCTTTTTTACCTTCCCAACTGGAAACTCCATACCTATAATGCCTCCCCTTTCACCTGGAAACTACCATCTACTTTCTATCTTTATTAATTTGACCTTCCCTACATTTTATTGCATTAAATTCAAGTTCGATTTCAAAGAAACTTGAAGATTTCCTCTTATCTTTGTTCTCTGTATTTCTGTTAAGTCAATCATCCTCCCTGTGAAAGTGACTTTGAACAAATGGCTGTCCTTTTAAAGACTAAGAATTAGTCTAAAAGGAGAGGGTGAATATAGTCAAAGCACTTTGTGTAAGTGTATGAAAACAGAACAATGAAACCTGTTTAAATTGTTCTAAGAATGAAGTAGAGGAGACTGGCAGAGTGGCTCAGGTGGTAGAGGGCCTGTCTAGCAACCATGAGTCCCTGAATTCAAGCCCCAGTACTCCCTGCCCAAAAAAAGGGGGAGGGATGAGGGAGAGGGATAAGGGATGGAGGGGCTGAATCTAATTAAAATACATTGTAAACATATATGTAAATGTCACAATGAACCCCCTGTACAACTAATATATGCTAATAAAAATGTTTTTCAAAAATGAATTAGCCTAAACAAGAAACAGCAGCAAAAGAAAAATTTACAAATAGCCTGAAATTTTCATGTTTCTGGGCTAAAACATTAAACATTATGATAAAATTTATCATAAAATTTTAAGCTGTATAAAGGTCCTTTCAAAGTCATTTTGTCAGCTTCCAACCTAATAAATGGAGACTGTGACACCTCCCTGATTTTGACATTTGGAATCATGGCAAACTTACAACTTTCCAAAGACATCACACTGATAAGCTGCTCTTACTAGTTATCTTTTACATCATCTTCATTTCTGTCTACATCACATAAAATAAACCCTAACATCTCAAATAAGAATTCAGAGCTCTTTTAAGAGATTTACTTATTTATACAGCACCTATGCAGGCTTACAGTACTAGAGTGTGTCCTTAATGTACAATGATCACATTCAAAATACTGCAGTGGTCTTCATGGCATTTAATATCCAGTTAAATTCTTCAAGAGCAGTCCATTAAAACTCATTAAGATCAACTCACTTTGAAAACACTTTGCCCAATAGCACCCTCTTGTGGAAAGAGCTATAAATTGATGAGACCTGAAGCTATCCCCAATATTCCTGAACTTTATTCAACTTTGTTGGTTAGTAAATCAAAAAGTGTGATTGTAAAAATAAAATGAGCTCTGACAGAACTAGAGAAGTTAATAAATACCAAGAGCTACTTTGTTAAGTAAGGGCTCAAAACACCATGATCTGGTCTACAGATCCAATTTACACATACAATGAATATTTATCGAATGTCTATTGAACTACACGTAATATATGATATGGGAAGGGTACAAAATGAATAGCATAATTCCTGTGCCCCAGCAAATTTACATTTTATTGGGCAGCAGATAGTATAAGACAGGTCAACAATTACTTAAAACCTAAAGTAAAATATAAGGTGCCTTAACAAAGACTCAAAAGTGTTATCCAAGTTCAAAACAAAGACATCAAAACAGGGTTTGTTTTTGGACATGAGAAGTGGGGTACTAAGTAAACTACCCTTTGTGAAGAAAATGAAATTTGAAGAATAGGTGAGATCCACAGAAAATCTGTTAGGGATCAGGTCCACTCTTCACATAGAAGAACATGGAAATAAAAAATAGAGGAAAAAGAACTAGGAAAATAGTAGCTTTGAGGAGCTGAGTAATACAGTTTGGCTAGATGTGGATGATAGTATGAAATGAGGCTAAGGAGATAGCCTTATTTGATTTGATAGCCTGCGACCAAATCATGGAAGTACAGGCATTTTTGAAAAAAAGGAGATACAAGATCATAGCCCTACTTAAGAAAGGTTAGTCTGGAAGTTATTAGGAATGGTAAATGAAAGGGACATAGAATAGAAACTATTGGACAAGGGCCTGAAAATCGCAAGAACGTGTTATGTGCTGAGGATATTTTAGCATTTCTGCCAAAGAAAGACACAAACACAAATGACCACTCATTGTTTCAATGTCCATATTAAATAGGCTTTCCTTCTAAGTGAGAAGGCATAATAATACCTTCTCAAGTACTGTAAAGTAGAGGAAGGTGTGCACCCTTCAGGATTGTCTCTTCTGACCTATTACCTTTTAGCAGACAGGTAACATCTACTATCTCCTTTTATCTCTCAGCATCAAACATAGTAAAAAGATGCACAAACCACACTAAGGGAAATATAAACAGACATGATTTTTCTGTAAAGCAGTTCAGTACAATCTCAAAAGTTTTAAATGCCCTTGACCCAGAATTTCTAACAAGGTAAGAAATTCTTCTTGGTGACCTAGGTCTTCACCTTGCTACTTCCAATACTCTTGCCCTTCTAATAGCCATACCTACCTTCAACCTTCAATAATCTGATGAAAAATAAAATCATGTAAATTAAATTAGTTCTTTGGGAGCTGGACAGAGCTAATTAAATTAGTTAGAATTTCAGAACTGTTCTTCTAAAATAACACGTGGCAATTATCTAGGTAGTTAAGAGGCAGAAAGTTTGAATGCCAGACCTGCAGGAGTCACAGAACCGAGTGTGAGAGCCCTCACACACTGTATGCCTGACTTTGGGCAAGTTTTTAAATCTCTGTACCTACAGTTTCCTCATATGTAAAAGTGAAATAATGAATTTTATGAAAGTGAATTAATATATGAAAAATGCTTACTGTGTCTCTAATACTTAAGAAGTGTACAGTTAAAGTTAATGCAAAAGAAAAAAAATTGAAAAGTTACCTTGCATTTTCCATTGCATTAGAAGATGAGACTAACTTTTCCTCCAATAACGTGACTTTCTTTCTCAGTTTAGTCTCTCTATCTTCCACGGCCAACAATTCCAGAGTGTGAGACTCTTCCGATTCTAAAAGATGACTGCGCAATCTATTGAGCTCCTGGTTTAACCGTGATTCTTTGTCATGTAAGTGTTGAACCTACATAGAGGACATTTCTTTATTTTTCTTCTACATAATGCTCCCCTGTCACACCCACAAACTGCTTTGTTATCAAACCTTTTTTTCCACTATTGAAGTTTAATAATTATATACTAATGCCTCATATTGCCAAGATGTATTTATGACAGGAAAAAAGTGTCCTGAAATCATTTTGAATATTCATCTGGAAGCTTTACTCTCTAAGATCACATTTGTTGTGGTTACAATGGAAAATGGAATTACACAGAAGTACTGACTGGGCTCTTTGTGACAATACTTTTTTAGTAAATCTCACTTTTTCATACCCTATGGGGTGAGAAATTTTTCTTATGTCCTAGATATGCCATGGTTTTCACTTTTGAAAAATTGCAACCTGAGAAATCAAAATCCTTGAGAAATCAAAATCCTACTATAGCATATCAGAGAAGACTAAGAAAAATCAACAGAGATGAATTCACTTTAATTGATAGTCATTCCACTTGTCTTATTTAATAGTTATTAAACTTACTGTCTCATTTTCACGTCTTTAAAGAGAAAGTATACCTCATTCTGTAGGGCACTGTTTTCCATTTGTTTCTGTTTCAGGGCCAACATGACTTGATCTCTCTCCTGTTGAAATGTAATTGTCTTCTCCTGCATTGACTTAACTGTATTTAAAAGCTGATTTAACTCCCCAGCCTCACCCTTTTGGAAAGAAAAAACATTAGCTTTAAAGAAAAAGACATTTTTAAAGGCATTTTCTTCATTAAATAATTAATTTTAAAATATAGTTTTAACTATCTCAAAGTCAACAAAAACAAGGAAAGTTGGAGAAATAATTCATCTAGAGGGTCATAAGGAGATACAACATCTAAATACAATGTATATCTTACATCATGGAACAGGAAAAGGACATCTGATAAAAATTAAAGAATTTCAATAGAGCATGAACTTTAGTTTACAGTAATACCTCAGTATTGATTCAGTACCTGTGACAAATGTACCACAGCAATGTTAAGATGTTAACAATAAGGGAAACTGGGTGTGAGGTATGTAAGCACTCTCCACTAGTCCAATTTTTCTCTAAATCTAAAGCTATTCTAAAAGAATAAGTATACTAAAAATGTTTTAAAAGGAACTCTAGAGGAAAAAAAATCTCTCCATACTTACTCGACATAACAAAGTGTTTACAAAACCCAAAGTCACCAAAGACAAGTTTGTTCCAGTGTGTATGTGTGTGTTCCATTCATCAGGAACCCACAAATGTCAGAGAAAGTAACAGTGTTAATTTAACTGACTAGTAAAGGAAAGGGAAGTTATTTCTTATGCACACCTATTTTAAAAGAAATTTTAATGAAAGTAATTCTGAAATGTTATCTTCTAAACAATAATGAAAATGTATTCCTGAATGCATTCCATGCCAAGTACAATGTATTAACAGCAGTATGGAAAAGATAATCCTTCACTGCAAAAGCAGGGACATGAATTTCAGACAATAGTGGAATTCTTAAAAAGCACAGAAATTGGCAGGCTGTTTATAGACAATTCTTTTTGCAGTTTTAAATATGCAAAGCAAATGAATCTAGAGTTTAGTAGTATTTTAAGTTTTCATGTAAATTTTGCATTTCTTTAAGAATACATAAGCCTGGTGCAGTGGTATAGACCTGTAGTCCCAGCTACTCAGGAAGCTGAAGTGGGAGGACAGTGTGGGTCCAGAAGTTCAGGGCCAATCTGGCAACAGAGCAGAACCCTGTCTCTTAAAGAAGAAGAAAAAGAGAACACAGAATAAAATCTCCAGAATAAACCACTAGCACCAAAACATAAAATCATGTAGTCAGCTGGGGCCGATGGCTCATGCCTGTAATCCTAGCTACTGAGGAGGCAGAGGTCAGGAGGATCGCAGTTTGAAGACAGCCCGGGCAAATAGTTCATGAGACCCTATCTCAAAAATACACTTCACAAAAAAAGGGTGTCTGGAGTGGCTCAAGGTGAAAGCCCTGAGTTTAAACCCCAGTACTGCAAAAAACCAAAATAAACAAAAAATGTGGTCTTTTTATCTCAGTATGTACTTCTATTACATAGGGAGACCCAGTATTTTCCACACATTTTCAAATGCTTGAGAAATCAAACAGATATCAAGATCTGTTGAGAACATACCTTTCTCCTCCCAAAAAAGACATTATTTATTATATTAAAAATATATCATTCTTTATCAAAACTGCTTGGTACTAGAAGTGTTTTGGAGTTTGGAGTTTTTGGATTTGTAATATGTCCACAGACTTTTCTGGTTGAAAATCCCAAATCCATCAGGTTTGGTGCTCAAAAAGTTTTAGATCTTAGAGCACTTCAGATTTCAGATTAGGGATACCTGTATAACCTAAAGGTACCTTTAAATTATATACAAAAAATTGGAAGAAACCATTTTAGTTTATACTCAATGCCCTCAACTAATACTTAAGAACTACTTAATACAGGGAAGTTTCCTAAGGCAGGAAAGCGTTATTAAAATCTGTACAGTATAGATTTACAAATGTCAATGAAACAGCTAAATGGTACCAAAATGCTAAAACTTCAAAAGACTTCACTGTCCTACATTCCTCTGTTCTACTCTTACAACCATAAGACACAACACTCACTGTTGGTTAGTGAACAATGCAAAGCTCTACCCGCTAAGAGTTTCTTTCACGTTAATTGTAGACCAGTACGGACCAGTACCATTAAAACTAAGAAGTTATCTCTGAAGGACCAAACTGATAATCAGTATACCTATTTAATCAGATAATCAAAGACTCTAAAAGAGAACTTAACTAGCAAAAGAAGTCAAATCATTTTGCATCTTGCGCCCAGCAGTATATAAACGTGTAAGAAATGGTTGGTGAATGTTTCATTGTTCTGCCTATCATCTCTTTTTCAAATTTCTACTACCAAAAGTATCGAAACCATAGGAAAAAGGCACCAATGGATAAGTTCTACAAAGCTTGTATAACAGATCTTCAACGGCTCTTACTAAAATGAACATGTAAAATATTCATTAAAATAAGCAAAAAATGAGCATGTAAAACTCTGTGTATGTCAAAAGCTACTGACACTTTCCATCTAACTACTACGACCCTTCATTTGATGGTTGAATAAATAAACCAGTATGGTCAAAACACATCCAAAGTCCCATCAACAACAAAGCTAGAATTAGAATATTTATATAAACTACTATGTTATACTTTTCAAACTCTGGACTGTGACTCTTTGGTTCATTTAAGTCAATTTAATGGATTTTCTCTTTAAAATAGAGCATCAATGTAGTAAGGGTAATTCCTGGTTCCTGAAACTTCTTTTCAGTTTCTCTCATACACACACATATTCACACAGGCAAATATTTACTACGTCACAATGTAAAAATATTTCTTACTGCAGTTCACAAAGATGTCATGTGTATTTCAGTGTTTCTCGTCCACATAATCTCTAAAATGTTAATCATTACTAGCAGCTACTGAAATATGCCTAAAATTTGGTTAAACTGACTTCAAAATGCCCTCAGGTAACTACTATTTTATAAAGAAAATATTAATTGCTGCTAAGTCCTTGCTTACTACTTAGCAGGCAGTAAAAACCTACTACTGAAAACATTTGGAAATATCTAACAATTAAAGAGAGAAACTGACAGATGCCACAGAGGAAAACTTATTTAGATAAGCCAGGATACCTTGAAATAAATATTTCTATGAACAAATTCTTGGTCTTCTTCAAAGACAACATCTATGAACCAATTCAATAACAAGTCTCCTTTACCTTCCACATCTTTCTATGATACTACCTCTAGAACATACCTGTTCTTTTTCTTTCAATAGCTGCTCAAAAGCAAGAGCTTTCTCCTTCATTGAATGGTACTCAAACTCTTTTTCGCGAAGCATTATAGAAAACTTCATGTTAGTCTCTTGTAATGCTTGATATTCTGTTTCCTTTCCCCTAGATGTTTCTACTATTTTTTCATTTTCCACTTTTAGTTTAGAAATGTCTGTTTCTAATATTAACGTTCTTTCCTTCAGGTTTGTTACTGCCTGCTTCAAAAGCTCATTTTCATTCACTTTGTTAGTGAAATTTTCATTTGAAGAAAGTAACTGATCACTTTTGGCTTTGATTAAAAGGTCCTTTTCCTTAAGTAAGTTTTGTAACACATCTTGTTTCTCTTTCAGCTGCTTAATTTCTGAATCACTTTGTTCATGTTCTCTTCTTTCCAGCTCTGAGGAGGCAGCAATCGAATTAGACAACCTGTGATTATTTTCCTGGAGAGTTCTAATTGTTGCATCCTTTTCCTGCAGCAATTTTCTTAACTCTTCTACCTCTTCTTGAAGAAAACTAGGAGACTCACTCAATCCAGCAGACTCACTTGCTGCCTCGGGGGTAAATGATGATCCAGAAGAGAGCTGGGGTGACATGATATCAAGTTTTCCTAAAAGAAGATCCTTGGCACTACAAAGCTGTCCTATGCTGTGTTGAACTTGTGCTAATTCTTGTCCAAAATTTTTGAGTTTGGTTTCATTCTGCTCATAACTTTGGATGAGGCCAGTGTAGTCTATTTGTAATTTAGAATTATTATCACTGTCTACCAAAACTTGGGCCTGAAGTTGATGAAGTTCCTCCTGAAGCTGGGCAGACTCATGTTGCATGTTTTGGACGGTGGTCATCACCTGTTGTTTCCATTCTTCCATTTTCTTTACTTGCTTGTTTTAATTTATCACGCTCCTGTAAGAGCTCCTCAAACTGATTACTATTAACACCTCCAACCTCATTACCTGGGTTGGAAGTCTGTAAAACTGCCAACAAAGTTTGACTTTTCTGACTTAGTGCATCTATTTCGATGTCTTTTTCTCGAATGATACGTGATAAATTCTGAACAGTTTCTCTAAACATATCTTGCCCACTACTTTCAAATCTAGTGGACAATCTTCTATTCTCATCTTGCACCTTAATGAGTGCTGCTTCTTTGGCAGCAACTATATCCATCATTTTGTGATATTCTGTTTTCAAATGGCTATTTTCCCTTGTCTTCTCATCCAAAACAGCAAATACTTGTTCTCTTTCCATAGCATAGGCCTGCAGTTGCTGTTGAAGGTGAGCACCATCCTGGGTGTAGGAAGCAGAAGAAATTCTTGCGTGAAGAGCTTGTATCTCCAAGTCTTTCTGCTGGATAATCTGAGTGAGTTTACCAACCTCATCTTTGGATAGCTTATCAATTTGTTTAGTTAAAGATATATTCTTTTCATTTAGAAGTTTAATCTCCAACTCTCGTTCTCTTAGTCCTTTCACTAATCTTTCAGTTTCAGCTTTAGATAAATCATGTTTTTCACTTCCATTTTCTATATTAAGGCTTTGAACTTTTGTTTTTTGAAAAATATCAGAATTTTCTGTTTGAATGTCCTGTCTTTCTTCATTCAACTGGGTTTTTATTTGTTCGATTGTTTTTTGTAAATTCTTAATTTCCTCATCTTTCTCTAAAAAGAGCTGGGTATGTGTGATATTCATTTGTTCGTGCTGGTATTTAAACTCGTCCATTTCCTTCTTCTGCTCTTGTAAAGACTGAAGCAGTTGCATATGACTCTGGTTTTGATCTTCAATTATCTTTTGATGATGTTTAATTTCCTCTTCCAGATGATCCTTGATTATATTCAGTTGAGATACCTCGGATTCTAATTCTGTGGTACTATCGAGGGTTTTAGGCTCAGTGATGGGCCCAGTTCGACTCTGCTGTTCCCGGAGTCGTTCCAGTTCTTCTTGTAGATGATTGTTTTCTTCTTTCATGGATCCAAGACTTCTGTCCTTTTCCTCTATAGTCTGCCTTAAAGTTTCATTTTTTCTTAAGGCCTGAGAACATTTATCTAATTCTTCCTGCAGTTTTGAACTTTTTTCTTTAATTTTTTCAATAAAGAATTCTTTCTCATTTATAAGCTGTGTAAATTGCTTCTGCTCTTCTAAAGTAGATGACAAAATACCCTTGGTCTTTTTATGATCGGTATCCATTTGCTCAATATTCTTTTTGAGTCCTGCTATTTCAAAGTCTTTCTCCTGAATGAGTTTAATTAAATGTTCATGTTCCAGCTGTAAGGCAGAAGTATTCCGATTACGTGAATTTGACAGTTCTTCAATGGTTTGTTTATACTTGTTTGTTTCCTCCAAAAGCCTCTTTTCAGCCAGACACAATTCTGCTTCTATTTGTTCTTTTTCCCTTGTCAGAGTCTCTGCAATAGTGTTTTTTTCCACAGAAATCTGTTTGTTATCAGCAACAGATTCTTCCAGTTGTTGTCTTATATCCTCACATGCTAAAACCAACTTCTCATTTTCTATTCTGAGATCAAAAGCAACTTTCTTTAAATTTTCATTGAGCTGTTCTATTTCTGAAAGATTTTGCTTTAAGTTTCTAACTTCAGCTTCCTTTTCTTTAAATAAGTCATCTTTAAAATTACTGTTAGAGTGTTGATTAAGAGACTGAGTTAACTCATTCCTGATTCTGAATAGCTCCTCTTCATTTTGTCTAATGTGTTCCTTAATTTCAAGGTTCTCCATCTGGATGTTTAAGTTATTCTTCTGTGATTTACTTAGCTGATTTTCTAAATCTTCGACTTTATCTTCAAGCTTTTGCTTGGTTAAATGCAAATCATTTAGAGCCAGTTCACTGTGAGTTAACTTTTCTTTCTGCACATCTAACTCTTTGGTAATGTTCATTTTATCATCCTCAAGTTGATGAACTCTCTTTTTTTCATCATCCAGATCTTGCTTCAGTTTCCTGATAACGCTATTCCCTTCATTTTGCTGTTTTGATAGCTGGTCTTTTAATGAAATCACGTGCTGAAAGAGAAAATCATTTTCATGGTAACTCCACAACATTTTCTCATTTTGATGCCTAAAGAAAATTTTGTAAAATTTCATACACAATAGATGAGTAATACTCAGATATTTCTAACCCTTCTTAAAAATAATTTTTTTCTAGCCCAATGTTCCCTATAAAATTATTTATGAATATCTTACAGAAGTTCAAGAAGTCCATTTTATCACATTAGGGCAAGAATTTTAAACTAAAGAAGGCAAATGCTATGTGTTGGGTGTTTTCAACTCTTAAGCACTAGAGCAAGAGTCAAAAATCTACAGCCAATTGACCAAATTGGGCCTGTTGCCAATTTCTGTAAATAGAATCTTACTGAAACACAGCCATGCTTGAAGGCTCATCTGTTTATACATGGCAAATGCACAGTTGAATAGTTGTAACTGAGATGTTATGTCCTGCAAAGCCAGATCTTTACAGAAAAAGTTTGTTAGTGTCTATGACTAGGACATCAATAAACTAAAATATTGATTAAATTATAAAATTAAATCACATCTGTTATTTCTGCATACTAATCAAGGGCTCAATTCACTGAGTTGAATATGCTACCTCTCACATCTATCTTTCATGTAGTGTTACCTTTGTAGCTTCTTGGTTTTGTGTGTCCAGTTCTTCCAACTCAGCTCTCAGTACTTCCTTTTCATTAATACACTGATTCAGTTCTTGTTCCTTTGCCTCCAAGTTAAGTCTTAAGTCACGTAATTCCAAATCCAAAGTCATGTCTCTTGCAGCTGTACTTTGACTTACTTCATATTCATTGCTCAATTTTGAGAATAATAGCTGAAGTTCTTCCTTAAGTAATAAAGGAGGAAAGTTGGCACATACTGTCAATTAAAGAGACACTAAAAGATTAAACACACACACACATATAAACAAGTGAAAACTGTGGATCTATTTTAACTGTTTTGTATTGGAAACAATATTGAACATGACCTCAATAATGATATCTAAAATTCAACAAGCCATACAGCCTTTGTTCTTGTGCAATTTTATTTGCAGCTCCAAGCAAAACACTTCCATAATCCTAGACAAAATGTAACAACTCTTTACCTTCTAACTCCAATTTCTTCAGTGGGGAGTCTTTCCTACCCATTTTACTACTGCTTCCCTTAGTCCTACCCCTACTACACATGAACTTTTCAAAAGGCCCCAAGTCTCCCAGCTCTCTTCACTTCCATTCCCTAACATTCAGTCACCAACAGTCACAGATTAAATAAAAATGAAAAATCAATAGCCACTTTAAAGCTTAGCATTGCTAGTTGGAAAACAAAAGGCTTCTTTTCCTTAATTAAAGGAATTCACCCGATTACTTGCTTCCGTCAGCATATGCAACATTTTCTTAACTGAAGAAAGTGCCTGCCTTCCTTCCTTTACCTTCTAACCAAGTGCAGACTAGGTTCCCCTCTCTCAAACCCGACATTCCTGAACATGGATCTGTATGCACATTTTGTAGTCTGTCAATATTTTTTTCCAAAATCCCAGAAGCAGGACACTTTTCTAAGTTTCAACATTATTTTAACATCTGATTATGATGTTTGCGGTAAATCATGTATCTCTGTAAAGCCTTCTTTCACCAATAAAAGATTTTTAAAAATCAAACTTCTATGGAATCTACTTTAAAGTAAGAATCTCAAATTCCTCTAAATAAGCAACCTAATAATACCTTATAAAAGAGATCAGGAAAAGCTGTAGTAGAACACCTTCATCACAATTCTCATTTCATTCCAATTCAAAAACTTATTCTGAAATGTACTTCAAAATCTTTCTAAAGTTACCTGTTCACTTAAAGGAGAACCACAAACATTTTTTTCAGGTGGATCTTAAGAGCATGCATACCTTTGGCATTATTAACTAGTAAGCAGACACATGCAGATACAATTCAGTGAAGAGATACAAGGAACTACTAAACATCAAAATGAAGGAGAAACAGCTATCAAGAAACAGCTCTGGAATCCAAAAACACCACAAAACATTGCAGGCCTTATCAATATGTGAAGAGAGAGCTGCAAACTATGACCTAAGCCAGTTAGATAATGAGCAAAATACAATGGAAGCAGAGGCAGAAGAAATATACATAACATACTAATAAAAATCATGACTAGGAGACAGTACTAGAATTTAGCAAGGAGTATAGCAAGGATCCCATAAGGCACACAACTAAGAATTTTCCCACCTAAAGGCTGACTGCACCCTTTTGAGAAACACTGCCTAAATAATACCATGAAAGGTGCTGAAAATAAAATGTTAGGTTATGTAAGATTAATTTTTTTTATTTTTAAAAGCTATATATATATCTCTAAAATTATATATTATATATAATATAATAAGCTTTATATATATATATATAAAATATATATATATATAAAATCAGACACATCATATAGTCTGGAAAGATATACTAGAAATCAGAAATGGAGACTGCCTCTGGGAAAGAGGACAAGCAAACAGAAATGTCAAGGATACTCCACTTATACCATCTGAAGTTTTTCAGCATGAATCACTGAATACATCAGTGAATAAGTATTACTTTTAAAAAGTTAAGATTTGAAATTGAGCTGAAACACTGGCCTTTAACTTAGTATCAGTTTTCAACTGTCCTATGTTTAACCACTTGTCATGGGTGACTCACACCTGTAATCCTAGCTACTCTGGAGGCAGAGATAAAGAGGATCACCATTCCAGGCCAGTATAGGAAACAAAAGTGAGACTCTATCTTAACACAAAAAAGGGCTGGTGGAGTGGCTCAAGTGATACAGCACCAGCCTAGCAATCCTGAGGCCCTGAGTTCAAACTCCAGTACCACCAGAAAAAACAGAAAAAAACCAAGGAATTAACAATAGTATAAACATAAAATACTTCTCCCCATACCCAGCACTACATTACAGAATCCTATTCTATCCTTGCTAACAATATACACAAAAAAGATTCCATTTCCCTAACTGAAACTATTCTTTCCATCCTCTCACCAGTAAGAAATTCCTTCCACCAAGATGGACACATTCTGGGCACATAAGGAGTGTATTACATTTGGGACCTCTGGACCTACTTTGTATATGCTGATGCTATCAGGACTTCATCAGAAACCAAAACAGGCCTTTCTTTTAGCTTCTACCTGTGTGCCTACTGGCTTATCTCTCTATATATATGCAAACTCTAGCCAGACTCTCATACTCTGAAGTTACTCAGTACTTCAATCTGGCCTGACAAGCATCAATGAGATCAGTTTTATCCTAAGGACTCTACAACTAAACATTTCATTTTGATATAAAATGGCTTTAACTCTGAACTATAATACACACACCATTTTAATTTTGCCCCATTTTAGCAGCACCTACCTTTTCTTGACTCAATATTGACTTCTCTTTTTCTAAAAGTTGAACATGCATTTGAAGTTTCAGATTGTCTTCAACAAGACTGTTATCCTACAAAAACGTCAAAGTAGTATTTTTAGGTAACACGAAATTTCCAGTTTACAAAAAAAGCAGGCTAGCTATACAATTGCAGGTTTTACTCAGTTATTTCTTTAGTGATATATAAAAATTAGAAGAATTCAACATTAGATAGTCTGGAGCCAATCACTCATTTTTGACATTAATATAGGGATTTCTTTATTATATTAAAAAATATACTCACAAAATAGTTTGTAAGTAAACAACTCCCTAAGGAAAATAAATTGAATTCCTCACTTTGGTATAGAATCTGCTTCCACTGTGTTTATACAAATGTAATATTTGTCAAATTAATCTGCAAAGAGATATATCTGCATTTTTAAATCATGCAACTTCTTAACATGCCATTTATGGTGCAAAAAGTTTGCTTCTATATTAATCAGCAAACAAATTACTGAAATATTCTAGGGTAAGTTCATACGAATTTGTAAAAAAAATACAAAAAAGCAAAATATAGTAAGTTTTTTTTAGTAAATGCCAAAAGCTTTCTCCCCATAACATGAATTTACCTGGTTTAAACTACTTAGTCTCATTATTTCATTTTCAGCATCTGTAAAAACAATAAATGAAGTTGAACATTAAAATTATTTAGAATAACTTAATAATTACCTCCCATATAAACTCAGAAATGTAACCCATTAAAAAAAAGTGTACTTATAAACACAATCAAGGGTTGGTGGAGTGGCTCAAGTGACAAGAGTGCCTGCCTAGCAAGCATGAGGCCCTGAGTTCAAGCCCCAGTACCGACCAAAAACAAAACCAAAAAACAAAAAGATCCACAAAGCTATAAACACAATTAACAAGTATTAACAGTTCAGAAGTGAAACATATTTTTTATTCATTTTGTATTTTCTATTTAACTATACCAAAGAAATGATAACATAAATTACAGTTAAAAACGCAGTCAAAATCCAATTCTTTGAAAAAGTATAAGAAACTACCATTTATTCCATATGAATCATAAGTTATTGCCTTGATAAGAAAGTAACAACTATGTTTTCAAAATGAGTTGATTAGTTTGGGTATCTTGAAATAATAAAACGTCTAAAAACTGGAGGGACAAAAACCTAGAAAGCAATAAATGTAAATTTATACAATACAATATCTCAATTATCTAAAGTAATTTAGACATGAATTTATTACATACAGATCCATAAACAGAAGAAATTTTGGAAAGGAACACAGAGACAGAATACCACAAGGTCAGCTAAAGTAATTCACTTAACACTCATTCGAGAAATACTGAGCATTATAATAAGGCCAGTTAACACAGAATGGAGTAATTTAGCCCTTGCTCTCAAAGAGCTTATCACAGTTCAGAAGGGAAGGAAAACAAGTAAACACATGATTATAACTCAGTGTGTACAGCAAACCAACAGGCTCTATGAGAGCAAAAAGGGCAAACAGTTTAGACGAGGGGAGCAAACAGGGTCAGAGAAATGTGATGCATCCCCCATTGAAGATAATGCCTGCACTCTACCATATACCAAGAATTAGCTAAAAGAAAGACAGGGACACTCCACCAGAGAAAAGCAGCAAATACAAAGGTGACAGAGCTAAGAGACAACACTTTTGGTTTCAGGGCTACAGATAAAGCTTAGAATTGGTAGACAGGATGGGAAGGGTTTAAACTGAAGAAGCAGACCAGATCATGATAGATATTATACATCCAACCAAGGAGGTTCAGACTTTATCTTGAAGTTCTCAGTGAGACATGAAGTACTAAAAGCAGGGAAATAACCTGCCTTGCATTTCTGAAATTTTATTCTGGCTGCAGAATGAAAAAAAAAGAATTCAAAAGGCATAATGAAAACCAAAGCATAAAATCAGGTACCACTTTTCTAACACTCATCATGCACCAGACACTGTTTTAAAGGGAACTTTGCAGCTAGAAATTCATATAACTCATGACTACTACAACTCCTACAAGGAGATACTATTATTATTCTGACCCTATAGACGAAAAATACCAAGGCACAAAGATGTTAACTTGCCCAAAGTCAGCTGTTTAGTAACAGAGTTGGATTCTAGCTCAGTCTTGTTCACAGCCACCATGTTATTCTACTCCATTAAGAGATCTGTCACAGTCAGCAAAGAAAAAAGCAATTATAACAGACTGAAGTAATTCTGTGACAATGGAAATGGAAAAGGGGGGAAGGACTAGAGCAGTAGGTCTGTTTTTTAAACCAATAAATCCAAATGGATCACTGGATATGATAAATAAATAAAATTTTATAGAAGAGCAGAGCTGCTCTGAAGGCAAATGAGAAAGAAGTCCAGAACTCCACTGCACTGCCTTCCCTTTCCTACATGGCAGCTCCCAGCACTGATGCACTGTGAGAAACCCTGGAGCTCCTCTGGGATACAATCCTGAAATATCACTCAGATAGAGAGACGTTAAGAACTGTAAGATAGAGAGATTCCAAGATGGCAGCTAGAGGGAGGAAGCAGAAAGTGAGCCTCCTATAGTGAAATCTTGGAGAGACGCTGGAGACACACTTTGCAGGCATAATCACTGAGAAAAGGCATAACTTTGACCTCTCCACATCTCCAGCCGGCGCAGAGCAATCTCCACTTCACATTAAACGGAGAGCCGAGGAGGGGTCCCCGGGGCCGCCGTCGCCGCACCCAGACGGCTTGGGAAGACGCAGACCAGGTGAGCTTCGCGGTACCGCGGTTCCCCCACAGACAAGCCTGGGCCAGAGCAGCATAGCCCCCCGGACAGACTGACCTCCACCGGGAAAAAAAGAGAAACTGAGTAATAAGCAATAAGAACAATAAAGACACGCGGAAAGAGGGTGGGGCGCACTGAGCGCAAGATTGGGGGAAGGGAATCCTTCCGGGACTGTAAATAAACAAGCCGGGCGGCGGAGAGGCTCCTGGCGGGAGCGGGGACACGCGCCCAGCAACCAGGAGAGGGAAAGCTTGTGAGAGGAGGGAAGACCCACTTCCCACGTGAACTGTAAACAAACATGGCGGCTGGCAGGAGCAGCAGCACCGCCCAGTAATCAGGAGCAGGAAAGCTTGTGAAAGTGGCAGTGGGAGGAAAACTGCACAGGAGAGGGGAAGACCCACCTCCCACATGAACTGTAAATAAACACGCAGGCCTGAGAAAGCTGGGTGCAGTGTCACCTTTCCCAGTGTGCTTGGAAAGGGGAAAGCTTGTAGCAGAGGCTCCCGCACAGGAGAATCTGAAAACAAAGCCTGCGGGCCAGGTGAGTGCTAAGCTCACCCCAGAGATCTGCATAAATAACACCTCCAGCAACAGCAGGCTGACAGCAGCGGGCAGGCAAGCCACAGCCGCAGATACCATTCTCAGAACTGTCTCCAGACTCTTTTTTTTTTTTTTCTCCCTACCTTTGATGAGAGAACAACCGAATTACACCTGCATGCTGAAAAACTTACTGAAACTGTATTGCATTTGAACTTGGGACACTTGGTGGGTTTTTTGTGTGTGTGTGTAGTTTTGTTCTACTTTATGCATCCCCTTTGATGAGACAACTACAGAACAACATCTGAGGCACCATCTCCAGGATTGGAGACTGAGACGGACACCAAATTATTAAGACTGAAACTTCATTGCATTTGAACTTGGAGGTTTTTTTTTTTTTTTTATTTTTTTATTTTATTTTAATTTATTTTTATATATAGATATTTCTTCATTTACTTATTTTTTATTTTTATTCTTACCTTTTTTTATTTTTGATTTTCAATCCTCTCTGTCTCTCTAATGTCTGTTCAGCTTACTGTCAATTAGTACACTAATGCTCCCTGTTTATACATTTGAAATGTTCTTGTCTGATACCTTGTTCTGTTTTCTCCTTCTTCTTGTGTATTTTTTTTCCCTTTTCTTTAACTTCTTGCTTTCCATCTCAGCTCACCCTTCCATTCTAAATATTACCATTGTTATTATTACAAGCTAGAAAATACTTAATTGCACACAGTACAGGGACAGTAACAACACCAAGACAATGACGGGAAGACAGAAAAAACAGGGAAACCAGTTTCCCCACAGCAAAAAATTAGTACAGGAACCAGAGGGAATGAAGAAAACAGATACTCAGATCCAGACTCCAACAAAATGAAGATAAACTATGCCAAAGGACCCAATGAAGCCCACAAGAATAATTTAAAAGAAGACATACTACACATACACAATGAAGATTTTATACAGATGATGCTGGATAGGGTCAACCAAAATGTACAGGAGACACTCAAGAAATTCCAAGACAACAAAAATAGAGAATTTGAAAAAGCAAAAGAAGAAATAAAGGAAACCATAGAAGCACTGTATAAACACCAAAGTGAAACAGAGAACACGAATAAACAGATAAATGAACTCAGGACAAAAATAGACAACATTAAAGAGGAAACCACCCAGGATATGGAAAACCTCAGAAAAAAGAAACAGAACTGCAAAACAAAACGGAAGGCCAATCCAGCAGAACAGAAAAACAGAAGACATGGTAATTAAAGGAAAAACGAAGAACTATTAATTAAACAACTCAAGACCTGTGAAAAGAAAATGCAAGAACTCACGACTCCATCAAAAGACCAAACTTGAGAATCATGGGCATCGAAGAAGGAGAAGAGGTGCAAGCGAAGGGAATGCGTAATCTATTCAACAAAATAATAACGGAAAATTTCCCAAATCTAGAGAAAGATATTCCCATAGAGATGTAAGAGGTCTCCAGGACACCAAACAGACCAGATCAAAATAGAACTACCCCATGACATGTCATCATTAAAACAACAAGTTCAGAAACTAAGGAAAGAATATTGAAGGCTGTAAGAGAGAAAAAACAAGTAACATACAAAGGTAAACCCATCAAAATCACAGCAGACTTCTCAACAGAAACATTAAAAGCAAGAAGAGCGTGGGTTGAGATCTTCCGGGCACTGAATGAAAATAACTTCAACCCTAGGATACTCTACCCAGCAAAACTATTATTCAAAATAGATGGAGCAATAAAAGTCTTCCATGATAAGCAGAAACTAAAACAATATGTGACCACAAAGCCACCACTACAAAAGATTCTCAAGGGATTCTGCACACAGAAAGTGAAACCCAACTTAACCATGAAAAGACAGGCAGCACCAAACCACAGGAAAAGAAAAAGCAAGACAGTAGAGAGTAACCTCAACTTAGGTACACACAATCAAACCTTCAAACAACTAAGACAACTAAATGACAGGAATCACCACATACCTATCAGTACTAACACTTAATGTTAATGGACTTAATTCACCCATCAAAAGGCACCGCTTGACGAAATGGATTAAAAAGGAAGATCCAACAATTTGTTGCTTACAGGAGACCATCTCACCACAGAAATAAGCATAGGCTTAGGATGAAAGGCTGGAAGAAGATTTACCAAGCCAATGGCCCCCGAAAACAGGCAGGAGTAGCAATACTTATCTCTGACAAAGTAGACTTCAAACCTACATTGATCAAACGAGATAAAGAAGGACATTCCATACTAATAAAAGGGGAAATAGACCAAAAGGAAATAATAATCATCAACCTGTATGCACCCAATGTCAACGCACCCAATTTCATCAAACATACCCTGAAAGACCTAAAAGCATATATAAACGCCAACACAGTGGTTGTGGGAGACTTTAACACCCATTATCATCAATAGATAGGTCATCCAAACAAAAAATCAATAAAGAAATCCAAGATCTAAAATATGCAATAGATCAAATGGACCTAGTTGATGTCTACAGAACATTTCATCCAACTTCTACACAATATACATTCTTCTCAGCAGCCCATGGAACCTTCTCCAAAATAGATCATATCCTAGGGCACAAAGCAAGTCTCAGCAAATATAAGAAAATAGAAATTATACCGTGCATACTATCTGATCACAATGCAGTAAAAGTAGAACTCAACAACAAAAGTAAAGACAAAAAACATGCAAACAGCTGGAAACTAAATAACTCATTACTTAATGAACAATGGATCATCGATGAAATAAAAGAGGAAATTAAAAAGTTCCTGGAAGTCAATGAAAATGAAAACACAACCTACCGGAACCTATGGGACACAGCAAAGGCAGTCCTGAGAGGAAAGTTTATAGCCCAAATCAATGACCTAATGATACATCTCAAACTCCTAGAAAAACAAGAACAAGAAAATCCCAAAACAAATAGAAGGAGAGAAATAATAAAAATAAGAGCTGAAATCAACGAAATAGAAACCAAAAAAAATACAAAGAATTAATGAAACAAAAAGTTGGTTCTTTGAAAAAATAAACAAGATCGATAGACCCCTGGCAAACCTGACTAAAATGAGGAGAGAAAAAACCCAAATTAGTAGAATCAGGAATGCAAAAGGGGAGATAACAACAAACACCATGGAAGTCCAGGAAATCATCAGAGACTACTTTGAGAACCTATATTCAAATAAATTTGAAAATCTTAAAGAAATGGACAGATTTCTAGATACATATGATCATCCAAAACTGAACCAAGAGGAAATTAATCACCTGAATAGATCTATAACACAAAATGAAATTGAAGCAGCAATCAAGAGTCTCCCCAAAAAGAAAAGTCCAGGACCTGATGGATTCTCTGCTGAATTCTATCAGACCTTTAAAGAAGAACTGATACCAACCCTCCTTAAACTGTTCCACGAAATAGAAAGGGAAGGAAAACTGCCAACACATTTTATGAAGCCAGTATTACACTTATCCCAAAACCAGGCAAAGACACCTCCAAAAAGGAGAACTATAGGCCAATCTCCTTAATGAACATTGATGCAAAAATCCTCAACAAAATAATGGCAAACCGAATTCAACAACACATCAAAAAGATTATTCACCACGACCAAGTAGGCTTCATCCCAGGGATGCAGGGGTGGTTCAACATACGAAAATCAATAAACGTAATAAACCACATTAACAGGCAAAGACAAAAACCACTTGATCATCTCAATAGATGCAGAAAAGCCTTTGATAAGATCCAACATCATTTCATGATAAAAGCTCTAAGAAAACTAGGAATAGAAGGAAAGTACCTCAACATTATAAAAGCTATATATGACAAACCTACAGCCAGCATTATACTTAACGGAGAAAAACTGAAACCATTCCCTCTAAAATCAGGAACCAGACAAGGATGCCCACTATCTCCACTCCTATTCAACATAGTACTGGAATTCCTAGCCAGAGCAATTAGGCAAGAAGAAGGAATAAAAGCAATACAAATAGGTAGAGAAACTGTCCCTATTTGCAGACGACATGATCCTATACCTTAAAGACCCAAAAAACTCTACTCAGAAGCTTCTAGACATCATCAATAGCTATAGGAAGGTAGCAGGATATAAAATCAACATAGAAAAATCATTAGCATTTCTATATGCTAACAATGAGCAAACTGAAAAAGAATGTATGAAAACAATTCCATTTACAATAGCCTCAAAAAAAATCAAACACCTAGGTGTAAACCTAACAAAAGATGTGAAAAGACCTCTACATGGAAAACTATACACTTCTGAAGAAAGAGACTGAGGAAGACTATAGAAAGTGGAGAGATCTCCCACGCTCATGGATTGGTAGAATCAACATAGTAAAAATGTCAATACTCCCAAAAGTAATCTACATGTTTAATGCAATTCCCATCGAAATTCCAATGACATTCATTAAAGACATCGAAAAATCTACCGTGAAATTTATATGGAAACACAAGAGGCCACAAATAGCCAAGGCAATACTCAGTCAAAAGAACAATGCTGGATGTATCATGATACCTGACTTCAAACTATATTACAAAGCAGTAACAATAAAAACAGAATGGTATTGGCACAAAAACAGACATGAAGACCAGTGGAACAGAATAGAGGACCCAGATATGAAGCCACACAACTATAACCAACTTGTCTTTGACAAAGGAGCTAAAAATATACGATGGAGAAATAGCAGCCTCTTCAACAAAAACTGCTGGGAAAACTGGTTAGCAGTCTGCAAAAAACTGAAACTAGATCCATGTATATCACCCTATACCAAGATTAACTCAAAATGGATCAAGGATCTTAATATCAGACCAAACTCTAAAGTTGATACAGGAAAGAGTAGGAAATACTCTGGAGTTAGTAGGTATAGGTAAGAACTTTCTCAAAAACCCCAGCAGCACAGCAACTAAGAGATAGCATAGATAAATGGGACCTCATAAAACTAAAAAGCTTCTGTTCATCAAAAGAAATGGTCTCTAAACTGAAGAGAACACCCACAGAGTGGGAGAAAATATTTGCCAGCTACACATCAGACAAAGGACTGATAACCAGAATATACAGGGAACTTAAAAAACTAAATTCTCCCAAAACTAATGAACCAATAAAGAAATGGGCAAGTGAACTAAACAGAACTTTCTCAAAAGAAGAAATTCAAATGGCCAAAAACACATGAAAAAATGCTCACCATCTCTAGCAATAAAGGAAATGCAAATTAAAACCACACTAAGATTCCACCTCACCCCTGTTAGAATAGCCATCATAGCAACACCACCAACAACAGGTGTTGGCGAGGATGGGGGAAAAAGGAACCCTCTTACACTGTTGGTGGGAATGTAAACTAGTACAACCACTCTGGAAAAAAATTTGGAGGCTACTTAAAAAGCTACATTGATCTACCATTTGATCCAGCAATACCACTCTTGGGATATACCCAAAAGACTGTGACACAGGTTACTCCAGAGGCACCTGCACACCCATGTTTATTGCGGCACTATTCACAATAGCCAAGTTATGGAAACAGCCAAGATGCCCCACCACTGACGAATGGATTAAGAAAATGTGGTATCTATACACAATGGAATTTTATGCAGCCATGAAGAAGAACGAAATGTTATCATTCGCTGGTAAATGGATGGAATTGGAGAACATCATTCTGAGTGAGGTTAGCCTGGCCCAAAAGACCAAAAATCGTATGTTCTCCCTCATATGTGGACATTAGATCAAGGGCAAACACAACAATGGGATTGGACTTTGAGCACATGATAAAAGCGAGAGCACACAAGGAGGGGTGAGGATAGGTAAGACACCTAAAAAATTAGCTAGCATTTGTTATCCTTAATGCAGAGAAACTAAAGCAGATACCTTAAAAGCAACTGAGGCCAATAGGAAAAGGGGACCAGGAACTAGAGAAAAGGTGAGATCAAAAAGAATTAACCTAGAAGGTAACACACACGCACAGGAAATTAATGTGAGTCAATGCCCTGTATAGCTATCCTTATCTCAACCAGCAAAAACCCTTGTTCCTTCCTATTATTGCTTATACTCTCTCTACAACAAAATTAGAAATAAGGGCAAAATAGTTTCTGCTGGGTATTGAGGGGGTAGGGGGGAGAAGGAGGGGACAGAGTGAGTGGTAAGGGAGGGGTTGGGGACAGGGGGGAGAAATGACCCAAGCCTTCTATGCACATATGAATAATTAAAAAAACAAAACAGAACAAAAAAAGAACTGTAAGATAGGACTTGCTCAATGATGGCATCTACAATTTTGCTTTGAGAGATTAGTAAATGTTACCTGTCACCAAGGCTAGGAAAGGAAAAGGAAAAGGAAAAAGAGATAATGACTTTGAACCTAACTTTACTTTGAAAATCTATGTTATACATATAGAGTTGGCCATTCAGATCAGGAGCTCAAGATAAACTGGACAAGGAATATAGAATGGGAGTCCACAAACACTCAAGGGCTGAGAACTTCCACAGAAGGAATGAATGAACTTCTTATAGTATGAGAAGAGGACAAAGTACAAAATAAAATGCATCTTTTCAGTTGAAGAGCTCCCATTATGTTTTCCTGACATGAATGAATACTGGTATTTGCCTGTATCATTTAATGCTTATTTCTTTTCTTTTCTTTGCACCCAGAATACTGGTATACTAACTGCATATCATCTTGAGTATGGAAAATGGTAGACGTCCTATGGCTCTTGTCACTTAAGCCTTTGTTTCAATACAGGAAATCATGTCAAAAGTTACCAACAGAATTTTTTACAGCAGAAATGCTGCATTCCCCAACTGGAGGATCTGGGCCCTAGTAAGTTACAGTAAATATTTGGTTCCATACATTAAAAGAAACAGACCCACACCTCCCCACCATATTTATGTACATGAACATTTCTTAGAAATGCAGATGGTTTCCTAAATCACTGACTTCCATATAAATACTTAGGAATAAGGAAGAGAAGGTGACAGACACCTAGTCAATTCTTAAGCTTTTTCATAGAAAGTTTCTATTTATGATCTATTAACTATGGTGCTGAACTCAAATCAACTCTACTCAAATTATAATTATTTCCATAAATACTCCATTTTCAATTATTCAAGTGCTATCTCCAAAAAGAAGTAGTATGCAATGAAACACCAATCTAAAGTAAGTTCCAAACATTTTATACCAGACAGTGCTTGTTGTAGTCTGTACACTTCTTCCTGTGAAGAATTCTGTAGAAGCATTCTCTCCTTTTCTGTCACAGTATCACTCTGCCTCACAGCAGAAGGCTGTAATTTACTACATTCCAGTTTCAAGCTTTCACATTGTTCAATTATTTGTCTCTTTTCCACATTTAACTGTTCTTGTTCTCTCTTCAAGATATCTCTGTCATTTTCTGCAGAAATTAATTTTTTATTTATGTTTTCTATTTTATTCTCCAGTTCTTCAAGTTTTTTTGTAGATTCTACTTTTTCAGTCTGAAGAACCTGAATAGTTTTTTGCATCTCATCAATTTTAGAGTGATCAGTTACTGTAACTCCTGAGTCACCTAGAATGCAAACAAAACCAAGGACATGGAGTGTCACGTTCTAAGAAATAAACAGTTTGCTATATAAACTAAGACATTTAAGAGCTCAGAAAATGCAAAGCTATAAAGTTAAATTAGTATAATAAAGTAACCATTTTTAAATAAAGTTGGAGAAACATTATTTGAATCAACTACTAAAAAGCTCATATCTAAGCGTGACAGAAAATGAAATATTTTCACCAAACAATGCAATGAAATTGATGGGTTATAACTATTTACCACAAAAGCAAAAGAACCTTCCCATTTTTCAGAATCTTGTACGTACTGGAGTGGTAGCACTGCAAATTGCTGGCAAAGAGTGGTAGTCATTTACTCATTCTTTAGATCTTACTCCAAGTTTACAGCAGTGTTCCAATTTTAGAGGTTTGTCATTTAATTATGACATCTAATATGGAAAATTAATTAAAACTAATAACCTTGTTGCAATAGATTTTCGAGTTCTTCAATTCGTTCTTTATAGTCACGTAATTCCTCTCGATGCCGACGACTTATCTCTGTCAATTTCTGTTGATGTGCATTCTGTAATACTGACATTCCATGCTGATGATCATCAATTTCCTGACTTCGGTTCTGTTTAAGTTCCTTAAAAAAATACGAACAAAGGTAGCCACATTTATGATCCATAAATTTACCTAAGCTATTTATTGTACTGTTGTCCAAATGTTTATACAGTGATCCTTAGTATCCACAGGTATATGGTTCCCAGGAGACCACTGTTGAGAAAAAAACTGATGCTCAGGATGCATAGTTTGAATACAACTGATGATAACATGGGACTGGACTGATTGAGAGTTTCTCTGCATCAACTGAGTTGTGTAATGCACATGTGGGAATTTTTTTTAACCACATTTTATCAAAACCATGTGAAATAAATCTGTGAATAAGGCCAGCTTACTGTATTATTAAAATTAATTCTATGAGCACCTTAAAGCTGAACAGAATTTAACAACAGTCCCCAATTAGGACAACTGTGAAAGCCTCCACTCCTTTCTTAGGCATTAAAAACAGTTTTTCTACTTTAATGAGAGAACATCAACAAGAAGACACTGAAAACAAAAGATTAGTGAAAGTACTGCCTGTGACCATGAACCTCTCCTAACAACATAGCCCACCAATACGAGGATCAACCCTCTGGCTAATCTGTACCTGCTACCCTACTACTACTCTCTTGCTCAGCCTTTCCTTCTGCCAGTCTCGGTGGAAATCCCCAACTGTCAACTGAGATGCCTTGCTACCTAAGCAAAAATGAACAATGTCTCTCCAGGAACCTGGATCTTGATAGGGAGCATCATGAGCTGCATCCTTCAGTCTGCCCACCGTGTCCTACTAGATTCCTGATGTTGCTCCCACTTCTGTCCTTCCTGACATGAGAATGCTCAATTCTTCCTTCAGTCCTCTATACAGACTGCCCTGGATCCTTCCAATAAACCTTATTTTGCTTTACTGAGCCTGAGATGATTTTTGCCACTTATAACTAAGAATCCTAATTATAAATTTGCTGCTACTTCCTAAGAACACAGTGAAAGCTATTCTTTAATCTTATGTACTACGTGCTAGAACTAAGCTAGTAACTTGACAAACCTCAGAACAATCCTACAAAGTAGGTATTACGATGATTACCTAACTTACTGATTATAAAATAGAAGATGGGAAAGGTTAAGTAACTTGCCCAAAGTAGCACAGCTCGTAAAGAGTACAACCAGGATTCACACACAGGTCTGACACTGGCACCTAACTGCACTAGTATTGTAACAATAAACTCCAAACAATTCTATATCTGACAATTTCAGATGATTCACTGCCCTGATGAATATATGTAACTAAGACTTTTCTTAAAAAAAAAAAAATTAACAGAAACTAGCAAAATCCCATGACTAAGGTAAAATAACTACTTATAATGAATAATATTAGCATTTTCTTTTGTCAATATTCTTTAACCCCAAAAATCTTAAAACTTCAACAACCTTGGAATTCTCTTTTAATAAAGACATTTTTATAGAAACTTATGAAATACAAATAACTGAAAACATGTTTGCAACCAAATGATTTTCATCTTATATACTCTGTCATAAACAATAAAGGTAATATTAAACAGTTTAAATGAGCATCAATCTATAAAATCACTTTTATAACTAAGACTCTTACCAATTTAGGCTTATACTTTCAATATGCAAATTTTAGATGAACAACAGGCACTGGCAACCAATAATCTGACTTACTTTAATAATATTTTGCAGTCTGCAGATTTCACTTTGATCAGAGCTATGTGTTCCTTGTGCCTTAGAAATTTAGAAAAAGAGAATTAGAAAATAATTACACCAATTTTCTTATAAAACAGAAAGTTACAAACTAACTTTATTAAAGGATTTTCCAAAAAGGGCATTTCCCAGAAAGATTCTGGTTAATGAACACCAAGCACTTTTTAAATAAAATACAGCATATTCAGTAATTTGTTAACCTACTGGGGAGATGACAATTTTACAAAACAAAAGTGAAAATGGAAAAAATATCATAGAATATTTTGCTTAGTTTAACAAAATGCAAATGTGAGAATTAGCTATCTAAAAGGAAATTTCTAAAACAGAAAATTATTCAATATTCGTACTAGTAAAATCTTTAAAATTAACCAGCAAAAATCCTTTAAAAATAACTTTACCCAGAAGATCTCTACCTCAATATAAAATAATGTTTGGTTTGATAAGAAAATAAGAGAACTTCTGGATTCTTCTGTTCTCATTCAAAGTTGTATGCTATTCATCTTTTTTTTTTTTTTTTTTTCGGTGCTGGGGTTTGAACTTGGGGCCTACACTTTGAGCCATTCCACCAACCCTTTCCTGTGATGGATTTTTTTTTCGAGATAGGGTCTCACAAACTATTTGCCAGGGATGGCTTTAGACCACAATCCTCCTGATCTCTGCCTCCTGAGTAGCTAGGATTACAGTCAAGAACCACCAGTACCCAGCATTTTTTTTTTTTTTTGGTATTACTGGGGGGGTTTGAACTCAGGGCCTTGCACTTACTAGGCAGTTAGGCAGGTACTCTACACTTGAGCCACTCTGCAGCCCTTTTGTGCTAGTTATTTTTGATATAGGGTCTCACTTTATGCCCAGATGATCATTTTATTTGTGCTTCCCTGAAGTAGCTGGGATGACAGAAGTGGTCCACTTTGCCCAGCCATTGGTTGAAATGGGGTCTTAGGAACTTTTTTTGGTCAGGCCAGGCTGGCCTCAAACCACAATCCTCTGTATTTCCAACTCCCAAGTAGTTAGGATTACAGGAATGAGCCACCAGACTCTGCCTCATTTATCCTTCAAAAATTTTTAATTGATACCTAATAAGTTATACATATTTACAGGGTATAGTATGGTGTTTCAATTCACATATGAATTGTTTAATGCTCAAATCAGGGTAATTAGCACAATCTATCATCTCAAACATTTATCATTTATTTGTGATGAGAGCATTCAAAATCCTCTATTAGACCTATTTTCAAATAAACATGGGGCTGGGGATATAGCTTAGTTGTAGAGCACTTTGCCTAACATGCACAAGGCCCTGGGTTCAATCCCCAGCACTGCAGAAGAAAACAAAGAGCAAAGATTTAGTTAGCCAGGTGGCCTATAATCTTAGCACTTGGGAGGATGAGGTAGGAAGATCACAAGTTTGAGGCCAGTCTGGACTATGTAGCGAGTCCCTGTCTCAAGCCCCCCTACACTCCTAAAAGAAATACACATTACTCTTACCTACGGTCACCATAATATGCAAAAGAATGTTAGAACTTCTTTCTCCTATCTGAATGTAATTTTGTACTTCGCCAACTTCTCCCCATCCTCCCTCTCTATTACCCAACCAAGTCTCTAGTAACCCCTCATTTATCTTTATGTTTACTATATGGCATGTTAATGAACCAAAAGCTGCTATAGGACAGAAAGAAAGAACATGGTATAATGGAAAGAACACAGGATTTGGAGTCAAAAGATGTGTATTTGAGTTGGAAACAGTGGTACAAATTTATAATCCTAGCTACTCAGGAGGCTGAAGCAGGAGTTGAAGCCCAGCCTAGTCAACAAAAATGATTCTCCTATCTCAAAAAGGTGGAAGGACTGGAGAGGTGGCTCAATAGTACAGACTTGCCTAGCATGTATGAGACCCTAGGTTCAATTATCAGCATCACAAAAAAAAAAAAATAATAAGTGTTTTGAGTCTAATCACTATGACAATGGGTATACTTTAGTAGTAAGTTTCAGTTTTCTCTGGGCGCTGGTGGCTCATGCCTGTAATCCTAGCTACTCTTCATGTTTCAAAGCCAGCCTCGGCAGATAGTTCAAGAGATCCTATCTAGAAAATATCCAGCACAAAAAAGAGCTGGCAGAGTTGCTTAAGTGGTAGAGCGCCTGCCTAGCAAGCATGAAGCCCGGAGTTCAAACTCCAGTACCACCACCACCACCAAAAAAAAATTTTTTTTAGTTATCTGTAAAAAAGAGGCAATAAATATTTCATGTAGTTATTAAGGATAATATATATGGAAATATTTTAACATTTTATATAATGTAATCCAAATGTTATTTTTTGTTATGCCTTGCTAAAAAACAAAGCCCTCTGGCTGGGTACTGGTGGCTTCATCCTAACTGCTAGGGAGGTTGTGATGGAGGATTGAGATTTGAGGCCAGCCTGGGCAAATAGTTTACAAGATCCATCTCCAAAATAACCAGAGCAAAATGGAATGAGGTGTAATTCAAGTGGCAGAGCAACTACTTTTAGAGTGCCTACATTGCAAGTACAAAGCTCCCTCGGTTCAAACCCCAGTCCCACCAAAATAACAAAAACATAAAACTAAGTCCCCTGAAAGGTTCCAATTATGCCTGTTTCAACCTTTACATTTCAGTATACATCTCTCATACACTAATCTTTCAATGTATGCTGAAGTGAACATACCAAAAACCCATCTTTTCCCTAGGAAATCTTACTCTAATATTTTTTTTTCCTTTTCTTTCTTTCCTTTTTGTTTTGAGACATGGTGTCATTATGCAGCCCAGGATGGCCTGGAACTCACATTCCTCCTGCCTCATTCTCCAGAATGCTGGGAACAAAAGCATGCACCACCACACCTGGCTTCAATGTTTCTTAAAATGTGTTCCTCACATTAGAATTTGCTTGAATGTAGTTTCCAAGGCCCTAAAATAGGCTACTAAGTAAAAAATCTCTGAAGGTAGTACAGGAAACCTATCGAGTTCACCAGGTTATTCTTTCATGTACAAAGTTTAAGAATACAAATAGGTTGTCCTATGTAAAGGTTAGTTTGGATACTGGGAATATCTAGCAACATGGGAAGAAAGCAGATAATTTTAATTAGGAAGATTATTTTCATAGCTAGATAGTATTCAACAAAAGACAGAAAATAAACTCTTGGGCTGGGAGCATGGCATTACCTAGCAAGTAAGCCCTGAGTTCAAACCCCGGGACCACCAAGAAAAAAATTAAAAATAATAAAGTCACAATCTGTCTTATTGTCTACCTCTTTCCTTCTCTATTACTTCATCAAATAATAATTTCACAGAAATTAATAATAACTGGAAATAAGAACAGAGCATTTAAAAGAAAATAATTTCTTATATACTTTGTTCTTTTTCCTACATTGATGAAGTTAAATCCAAATGAACGAATGCAGCAGTTTATTCTAAGTCTCATGTCTATTAACAACCTCCATATGTAAAATCTAATATATACACATCATTCTGAGTGAGGTTAGCCTGGCCCAAAAGATCAAACATCGTATGTTCTCCCTCATATGCGGACATTAGATCAAGGGCAAACACAATAAGGGGATTGGACTTTGAGCACATGATAAAGTGAGAGCACACAAGGGAGGGGTGAGGATAGGTAAGACACCTAAAAAATTGGCTAGCATTTGTTGCCCTTAACACAGAGAAACTAAAGCAGATACCTTAAAAGCAACTGAGGCCAATAGGAAAAGGGGACCAGGAACTAGAGAAAAGGTTAGATCAAAAAGAATTAACCTAGAAGGTAACACACACGCACAGGAAATTAATGTGAGTCAACTCCCTGTATAGCTATCCTTATCTTAACTAACAAAAACCCTTGGTCCTTCCTATTATTGCTTATACTCTCTCTTCAACAAAATTAGAGATAAGGGCAAAATAGTTTCTGCCAGGTATTGAGGGGTTAGGGGGGAGAGGGAGGGGATGGAGTGGGTGGTAAGGGAGGGAGTGGGGGCGGGGGGAGAAATGATCCAAGCATTGTATGCACATATGAATAATAAAACAATAAAAAAAAAAGCCAAACATAAAAAAAAATCTAATATATAAGACAAAATGCATTCTTTGGAAGGAAGTTTCCAGTCCCAGATATCAAGTATTTAATTTCTAATGCATGAGAAACAACATAAATAGCTTACCATATTTTATAATATTACCATCAGATTTTCATTTTACACATCACTGGAGCTATCAAACGCTTCAGATAAAATCTCAGGAAGCAGTATCAAAACACAGTACCTTGGATCCCTGGTGTTCCCATTAGAGAAGGCTCAGAAACTCCAGAGTAAAAGGTGCTGGCTCAGTTGTTTTTATCTTTTGAATCGTTGGATTTGTAACTTTCAATTTTATCTAAAAAATGGATCTGTTGCTTTAAATTTTTTAGAATTTTTTTCCAAATATTGTACAGAAGGGAAAACTGAGGCTGAAAGAGACAGGTAATCTGCCCAAAATCACTTAGAAAGCCAATGCTGGAATTAGAATACAAACATAGGTTTTCTGTTTCCTGGTCCAGGGTGATTTTTGATACCAGATGCTCTACATATAGCTTCCTAGATAATGCCAGAATTTTTACTTAATTATAGCTTTCAAAAACTCATCCAAATTTTACCTACCTGAGCAATATGCCTCCAATGGCCAACTTCAGATTCAAGTCTTGAAACTTCATTTGACAGTCTGTTTATTTCTTGTTGTGACGAAATTATGTCACCAAAATCCATGTCATCTTCATGGAATCCTGAAGCATGATGACTGAGCCCATAACCAAATGAAGATGACACAGTGGTTGCTGGCATACTGGCAGCTCCTGAATGTACTGACTGAGCAGCTGACTGCATTTTCAGCAACTGATCCTGAAGCGCAATCTGTCTTGCTTTAAGATGGCTGATTTCTACCTGCATATTTATAATCCGTGTTTTAGAAAAGGTATTTTAAAAAAAAACCACATTGACCTTTTTATAGATTTATAATGTTGAAAGGTATGATTTGGCTAAGATTATCCAAAATGGTACTCTATTAAGTGACTCTATTCTGTAACATCCTAACCATAAGATTTTCATTTAAAAAACAAATATAACTACCATAGTTAAAGCACAATGTTTTGAATAATATGAAGATCATAATTTCACTCAAATGTTACCTAAAGTAATTAATTTCTAAGTTAAACACAGTGTGCTACCTTCTATATAGGGGGTAATACTGGAAATTTCTTAGGACTGTTTGTGATAATCAATCCTCAAATGATGAGAAAATGAAAGCCTGCTGAAAAAGTCTTGTGTGACTGATTATGGTTGGATTTAGGCTGAAAATGCACCAAGAATCAGAAGTAATTTTGTACTAATCTGCACAATACAGCTGGAAGAATACTTTGATTTGTAAATCCAATCTTCTTAGATAAGATAACAGAGTAAGCCAATGATTATTAGCCCACTGAGTCTTAGAGGGAAATAGTACATTAAAAGGGGCCCTGGCTTTAACACCAGCAAAGACGGACCTGTGAAAAATATCATCCTATTTAGGAAGAGAACAGTATATAAATTCTAAAACCCTGAGCAGAGTTTTGACTGAAGGCTGGCAATGCCAAGTTGTAGCCCACAAGAAATTATAAACACAGGACCTTCCACAATGCTACGTCCATTCTGAGTGAAAGATTACCCAAAACACAAAAGTAAGCAATGTAGATAAAACTGAAATAAGCATTCTATAAAGTATCCAATTAGTCCAGGAGGCACTCTATCTCAACTGAAGAATACTGGACACTAGGGAGATAGCCACCAAGTAACAATATTTCTGCATGTGTAAAGCTATTGACATACACCCGACTCATTTATGCTATATGTCATAACAAACAGGTTTTCATATTAAACCCCTTCTCTGGTACAGATTTATAATAGTGTAAAAATTTCACTCATTTCTTCACAAATGAGTTTCATGTTTGGGGAATGTGAAAATCACAGTAAGGGTAGCTAATAGATTTAGAAAATACTAATCTATACAGTTCTATATTATCTAAAAAATACTACAACCCATATTTTAGATGTAGTTATAATACAAAAAAGTTGTCATTATACAGGAGATATTTACATCAAGTTAGAGAGCTACACAAGCACAAGTTCTAATAATAAAAAATTTCAAACTTGAATGCTTAATGTGCCCTCTAATGTCAATATTTAAATAGAATATAAAAAATTTTTAGAGGCTGGAGATATAGCTCAGTGGTTAAGTATTTGCCTAGCATTCATGAGGCTTTGGGTTTGATCCTCAGTAACACACACACACACACACACACACACACAAAAACTTCAATAGCAGTTTTTACAACAGTGGGAAAAGTGTTAGAATCACCTATGGAGCTTTTGAAAAATACAAATACAAAGCTCCCTACAATAATCTCCCAGGGGAAAGGGTTGGAAACGTTGTGTGTGTGTGTGTGTGTGTGTGTGTGTGTGTGTGTGTGATATATATATTGCTGGCCTAGAACACATGATCCTTCTTCCTCAGCCTCCCAAGTAGCTGGCATCACAGGCAGGTGCCATCATCATGCATGACTGCATTAGTACCTTTCAAAAGTGTCACTAATGATTCAGCTATAAACTCCTGAGCAGGAACTATTACTCTCACAATGTCTGTAAGTCAGTGCTATTTAGTGTGGTCCATGGACTGATGCCATGTTCATGACAAATACAGGAATTGAAAACGGTTTAAAAAATTTTTAAACAAGTTGTAGTCAATCTTTCAAATAGGAAAAAGTGAGCTTGTAACCCTAACTTGAACTTGCAACTTTGTTTTTTTAATTAATTCATTTTATTCTTCTAGTAATTCATTTTATTGTATTAGGTGAAATTATCAATTTCTATCAGATTGGAATAAAAAATTACATATTAATTATATATTATCTATTACTAGCACTGCAAAGACAAGTCAATTCCAAAGCAACCATTTCAGTCAAACTAAAAGAAAACAAAAACATTTGTAAAACAGTGTAAAGCAATTACAATATACTTAAAATTTTGTGTGGGAAATCAAGTACATGTCAATATAACAAACATTAACATTTGTAGTCAAAAGTATTTTTAAAAAGGAAAGTGTTATTAGCAATGACCTCATTGATTTAAAACAACTTAAGAAAACAGATGATAAATTAGATTTCATAAGATCAGAAATTATAAGCAACAGATCCTGAAGATATTTTATACAAAATTTTTTCTTCTTTTGGAAGTAGAAATTAATGTCCACTTATATAATATAAACTTAATAGAAAAGTTTCTCGTTTTATTAAATGCAATACCTTTCAAGATGTTGTTTAAAGAGTATTCCAGGGGTATTTATTTATTGATTTTTACAATTATTATCATATTATTGTTGTACTGGGGGTACACTGTGACATTTATAAAAATACTTACAATATGTCATAGTTGAATCCACCCCCTCCATCATTCTCTTTTATCCCTCCCTCCCCCCACTCCAGTTTCATACATGAGTACATAATATTCTACCTACCACATTTATGCTCCCACACCCTTTCCGTATATCCTCTCCACTCCCACTGGTACAGACCTCCAGACAGAATCCGTTTATCTTCCTACTTGTTTTTGAAAAAAGACATCTTTGTTTACGATAGCTATACAGGGAATTTCACTGTGACATATCCACGTATATATGTATTATAACCCAAACTGGTTCATTCCCTCTATTTTTCTCTTTTCTAACTTAGTCCCCTTATGGTAATTTCAACAGGTTTAAAGATTCTATATTCATTCCTGCATAGAAAGTACATCAACCATATTCACTTTCTTATTTTCCTTCTTTTACTCTCCCTCTCCCGTTAGTTACCTTCCCTTAGTTTGACCTGTTTTTCATAATAGTGCTTGTATTTGTACTGGATCTATATTCCATATATGAGAGAAAACATGCGGCCTTTGGCTTTCTGAACTTGGCTAACCTCACTTAAGATGTTGTTCTCCAGTTCCATCCATTTACCTGCAAAGGACAAATTTTCATTCTTCTTTATAGCTGAATAAAATTCCATTGTGTATAAATACCACATTTTCTTAATCCATTCATCAGTTGTGGGACATCTTGGCTGTTTCCATAGCTTAGCTATTGCGAATAGTGCTACAATAAACATGGGTGTGCAGTTGTCTTTATTGTAACCTGACTTACATTCCTTCAAATACTCCTTCAATATCTTAATGGATCTAAAAATGATAGTGATAGAAGACAGAAGAAATCATAATAACCTATACCTCCTTCTGTTGTAGTTGACTTCGGTAACTTGTAGATTGCTGCTTTATTTGAAGCTCTGATGCTTCATGCTTTTCTTCTAGATCACTGCAAAGTTTTTTAAGCCTTTCATTCTAGAAGCAAAGAAAAAATATTCTCAATAAAGAGACAACAAGTCAAACAGGTTATGTGCATGGCATCATGAAATACATACCGCTGCACACAAAAAGATGATATAAAAAATCTCAGAATTCTGGCTCTAATTAACATTGTAAATGCATTAGACATTTTTACTTATAAAAATGTATTTATTTATAAAAATTTGATTTGCCTAATTCCAAACCAAAGGAAGGGGATCATTTTGCTCCTTTGCTTTTCTATAAGAAAAAGCCACAGATTAATGTTTCCTCCATTTCTGAATACCTAGTGTCTAGTGTATAGCAGGCAACACATGACTAGTAAATGAATGAAGAGATTACAGGTTGAGCTTTTGTTTTCTCCCCAAACAGTAGAACTTTAAAAAGAGATTCCTGGTTGCAAAATAGATAGAAGGTTAAAATCTCTTATTATTAGTTTACCTGGTTTTCAGGCTCTCAGGTACCTCTGAAAACCCCCATTTAAACCCTCTGCTAAAACTCAGTTTGGAAAACTACTGTTAGAAGTGTACAATTTATTGGCTGAGGATGCAGCTCAGTGGGAAAGCACTTATCTAGCATGAGCCTAAGGCCCTGGCTTCAATTTCTAGCACTGCAAACACATACACACAAAATTATACAAAGTAGTCATAAGTAATATAGTGATTCTAGACATCACGGTCTTTTATTTTATTATGTTGGAAAATATGAAAAAGGAGCTCAAATTTTATGCACCTAAATGGAAAATTATCTTTACCTATTTATTCCTTTATTTGAATGAACATAGTAACAACATAATAGGGCAAGAAAAATAGACTCTGAAAGACTACAAAAAATTCACAATTACAGTTAGCAATTTATTAAACATTCTGTGACTATGTGTTCACAGTTTAAAAATGATGGCTGAGGAAAAAAGAGACTGATAGTGGTGAAAATGCTCCAGCTACAAGGCAAGGATTCTTTTCACTTTGGAGATATAACCTGTTTTTAATCTTAGATTCTCAGAATTTCAGATATCAACAGACAAAAATATAATAATCCAGGGAGATTACATTAATCTCTAGAGAAAAGCAATGAAGCAAATTAAAAGAATATTACAATATCTACAAATTCTAGTTTGGGACTCTATCCCCAGAAGATTCACAAACACTGTTTATCTTGAAAAACATTAGTAAAAATGGTCACACACTAATTATCTTCTATTCTACTGACTGACTGTGCATGATTCCTGTGAGCTATTGATACAAAAAACACAATATGTTGGAGTCAAAATCTGATTATAAAAATCCATTTTTATTTATTAAGTTCTGAATAATAACTAGAACTTAAAAGCTTTGAATGTGGTCAATACCTACGTGGATGACTACCCTTCCTTCTAGCTGTATGAGAGTCAGAAAGGTTGAGAAAGCAAACAAAGGACAGACTTTCTTCATGTGAATGAACCCATAACCTATCAAAAGTATCAAGGGCCCTATTTTGATTTACCTTGCCTCTTTTTTTGTTTTGGTTTATTTGAGACAAGGTCTCACTATATTGGCCAGGATGACCTTCAACTCATGATCTTCCCCTTCCTGCCTTAGCCTTCTGAGTGCTGAGATTTCAGGTGTGCACCATCATGCCTGGCCATATTTTCTAATGCATGGAATGTGAACCAGTAGAGAAGGGTATAAATAAGAAGAGACTCCTGCCAGGTGTAGTGGTATACATCTGTAATCCCAGCTACTCAGGAGGCAGAGATAGGAGGAATGAGTTTGAGGCCAGTCCAGATAAAATTAGTGCGACTCTATTTCAAAAAAAAAAATCAAAATATAAACAAAAGGACTGGGGGCATGGCTCAAGAGTGGAGAGAGGGAGAGAGAGAGACTCCTGATGGCCTCCATTACTAGTTGCATCCTTTCGTAAAGTCTGGCTATATTTCTCTTGGGAGCCCATGAAACAATCATAACCTTAAAATAATCATTCCTGTTTAATCAACCATTGGTATACTATCAGGGTCTACTGGAACTAACTGTAGTTTCTTTTTTAAGCAGTCCTAACTAGTTGCAAAAATGGAAATTTGTGACTTTTTTCCCTTGGAGATCTTCCAGAAAACAAACAAAAAGGTTACCTCTATATATATACCTATATAGGTATATATATATATACATATATACCTATATAGGTATATATATAGAAAACAAACAAAAAGGTTACCTATATATATACATATATATATATATATATATATATATTTTTTTTTTTTTTTTCCCCCAGCAGTACTGGAGTTTGAACTCAGTGTCTTCCACTTGCTAGACAGGTACTCTACCACTTGAGCCACTCCATCAGCTCTACCTATCTTTTTAATAGAGTAAAGTTCATTCTCTCTTGCAAATACAATAGGATACACTAAATCCTTTTATAAATCTAAGAATAATCATGGGATTGTAAAGATCTTATTTTATCTGTATCTTGAAATGTTTTCCTGTTTTATCATCCCGAGAATTATTTTATCATTATTCATCAAGTATTCTCAATTATTCTCTAAAAAAAAAAAGACCAAATAGCAGTTGGCTGAGTGGCTCAACTGGTAGAGCACCTGCCTAGGAAGCATGAGGCCCTGAGTTTAAAGCCCAGTGTCGCCAAAAGAAAAAAAAAAAAAAAAGATCAAAATAAGAAGAAAATAGAAGATGTAAAGAATCACTGGAAAGAATGATGCAATAGTGAAATAACCAGTTTTCTGCTGCCCTGCCCAATAGATTGCATCATCTTTTAAAAAGGAAACAGAAATCTGGAGACATCTTTGTAGCTATTGTCTTCTTTTTTTAACTGAATACAATTGAAAATACAGAATTTTTCATTTTTTGACAAAGTGACAAATGAAATCATTTCATAATTATCAGACAATAAATGAAAAAGACAGAAAACAGCACTCTACAACCTAATGGTTATGGTGAAACTGATTGTAGAAGCAAAATCTTAAGATGAGTCATCAGATGGCAAAATCTTAATTTTCTCAAATTCAAGAACTGATGAATGGCCAGGAGCCGGTGGCTCACACCTGTAATCCTAGCTACTTGGGAAGCTGAGAGTAGGAGGACTGAGGTTCAAAGCCAGCCCGGGCAGATAGTTCTCAAGAGCCCCATCTCCAAAATAACCAGAGCAAATTGGACTGGAGGTGTGGTTCAAGTAGTAGAGTGCCTGAATTCAAACCCCAGTCCCACCAAAAAAAATAATCGATGCAGTCATTGATTTTGTTCTAAGAACAAAATGTTTTATTCTGCAATATTTGACAAGTCCCTTAACTACCCTACTTTACTAAATGAATATGTGATAGTATTCTTTCAGTATGTATAGTATTTGCACTCCAGCATTTACTTGATATGGTTCACACAGAGACAAATGTTGAAGGTAGGTGTATATTAGGTGAGTAGAAAAAAACAGATGACATAGAAATGAATAAACTTCAGTAGGTGGATCATTTTAGTCAGCATTTATGAATCTAAGAAAAATTATGGAACAAAGGTAACAGCCATTTTTTCTTCAACAAAATCATGAGCTGTTATCAAAAACTTTGGGAGGTGAATGAAATCTGCAATCAGTGTTTAGAAGATAGACACATTCTGTTTATGCAGAAGAGTTAATAAGTAGCTGAATTCAAAGAATACTGCCTCCTTTGAGTATGTATACTTTTTTTGTTGGTGGATACTGGAGTTTGAACTCAGGGCCCTACACTTGCTAGGCAAGCTCTCTACCACTTGAGCCATACCTCCAGAGCCTTTTGCTTTAGGTTAGTTTTCAGTGAAGCTTTCACTTTCCCACTGTCTCTCCCCCACTAGGCCAGCTTTGGATTACTATCCTCCAGCATGAACTACAACACCCAGCTGTTTATTTTGCAACAGGGTCTCTCAATATTACCCTGCTGGCCTCAAATTCCTGGGCTCAAGAAATCCTCCTAGCGCAGGGAGTCAGTGGCTCACACTTGCAATCCCAGCTACTTGGAACTAAGATCAGGAGGCTTATGGCTTGAAGCCAGCTGGGGAAAAGAGTTTTTAAGACTCCATCTCCAAAATAACCAGAGCAAAATGGACTGGAGGTGTGGCTTAAGTAGTAGAGTGCCTGCTTTGCAAGTGTGAAGCCCTGAGTTTCAACTCCAGCCCCAGAAGAGAGGAAGGGAGGAAGATGGAGAGACAGAGATAGAGAGAGAGATCCTCCTGCTTCAGCTTCCTTAGTATAGCTGGGACTACAGATGTGGCCCTGCATACCCACTCTTACGTATGTTCTCAAAATCAGAAAAACATGGAACAAAAATTTGGATTTGCTAAATTTAAATTATTATTTCAATTTCTAATAAAGTTTTCACTATCATTTTATTCACATGACATTAAAGACAAAAAGAGTTCACTGGACAGAGATGATAAATTAGGTTAGTTTCTGTTACTTTCAACTACAGAATCCTAACTAACTCAGTCAACTATACACATTAACATCTGGCAGCAAATCTAATCTCCTCTGGAATCACACTGCCCTCCTTCCACACTAAAACCTTCTAAACAGAATATTCAGCCATATCATCATCACCTTAGAGCAGTGGATCTTCAACACAGATAGATGGCAAGGTCAGGGGTTAAGAGAATGATGTCAGCACATGAGGCAAGGATCACATACAGTTAAAATTACCTTAGAAAATAAAGCTCTTGATTTTCTCTGTTTGAGCAGCTCAAGCAACAAATGAGGAAACTGGCTTGTATGTGGGATGCGTTTTACCAAAAATAAATATTTCAAACACTGGAATCATATTGCCATAGTCCAATGATAACGTAAGTGACATTAAAAGAATGGAGATCAATTGAAGGACAGAAGATTTCTATCTACCTTCTCAAGCTTGCAACAAAGCAGATATGCACTGAGCAGGTTAACCTTATTTATCCCCCCACTCCTCAGGTGTATACTGGTGAATTCGTCTAACTAATGCCACCATGCACACTTCTGCTGTTTAACTTTCCTAGGTGGGTCTGTACTAGTGAGTGCTTTCTCAAGGATTTTCCTAACTCAGTCTTACAAAGGAAGAAACTTTTAAGTTTATCTGTTCCTTATTAAATAATTACGGCTAAGGTCTCTAAGTGCCACCAAACTGCTATCTTCTATAGGCAGAAGGCTAATGTAGCTCCTCTCGAGAGGTCTGCTTTCAAATTCCTCAGTGTCACCTTGATATTCCAAGAGAGTTCAACAATGCTTGTCATAACTAAACTCAATGTTCTCATTTTATAGACTCACCAGAGAGGAAAACATGCTTACTACAGTTCTCTAAGAGTATCTTTTGCTGCAATACTATCATTAGGTGTTCTCTTGCTGTTCTTATCCCAAGGCTAAGTAGTTGAGTTTTGTTAGTCCTTTACAATAGCTCCCACTCTGAAAGCCTTTCAATTTCTTTACGGCTTTTCTTTGAACCCTTTCCAGGCTTTTCTCATCCCTACTAAGTACAATGTCCAGAATTGATCATGACTAATCATGAATAAAATATAAAATTAATTTGCCATTCCTAACTTCTGTGCCATTGCCTTAACTTCTTTGTATCCTTTTTTTTTTCTTTTCTTTGAGATAGGGTCTTACTACATATCTAGTTGGCCTCTAACTCAAGATTCTCCTACCTCTCCCTCTTGAGCGCTGGTATTATAGGCGTGTATATCACACCCAGCTTATTATTATTTTAATGTTACGAATAAAAAAGCTCTAGATTGAACAAAACTCCTTTATCCACATTATACTTAAATAAATGTACTGCTATCAAGGCATTGTGGACCATGCCTGTAATCCCAGCACCCAGGAAGTGGAGGCGGAAGGATCACAAGTTCAAGGCCAACCTGGGCTACATAGTGAGAACCTGTCTCAAAAAAACCCAAAAAAATATAAATAAACATACTACTGCAATTTAGCACACTGTTAGAACATAGTACATCTTTAATAATAACTTTTTGCCACTATTATTTCTACATTTTTGCAGTTTTCCTTCTTCCAGCATACAGAAGTAGAGATGAGATTATTAAAGAATAGCAAACTGTAATAACATGTAACTGTATTCTTCATGTAAGGCAGCCTCTGAAAAGCTCAAAAGAACCAAGATCAGCAGAAGAGGTAAGAAAGGAGCAGTGCATTTAAAAAGAGGACCAAAAGTTCAAATACAGCTCATAGAACAAGTCAAAATCTTTAATTGATCATAGTCTTTAATATTCCTTACCTCTGATCTTAAGATTGCATGAATGGATTCCAATTCCTTTTTCCCAGAATTAGGAAAATCTGACACAGAAGAAACAGTATACATTGAATATTTAACCAACACAATATAAAATAATAAATGGTTTTTTTTTTTTTTTATGGTGTAGGTATTGAACTCAATGCCTTGCACATGCTTGGCCAGCCCTCTCACTAACCTACATCCTCAGTCTTAAACAGATATTTCAAGGAAAATATATTTCTTTTTTTTTTTTTCCCTCAGGGTGTAGTTTTATTGTTTCTTCCATAATATTCAGATTGCAAGAAATTTCACAAGAGAACAAATCAGCAAGCTCTTAAGAAGGCAGCAAATTCTTCACAAGTCAACGGGCTCTTGAACCCACAAAAAGATAAGAAGTATAAGATTAAAATGTTAAAGATGAAATTCCATCACAACATACTTTTTTCAAGATCTACTGCAAATCTAAGGGGAAATATATTTCAATGAGGAATATTTGTCCTCAAAGAACAAATTCAGAGGCACAGATCTCTTTTTTTTTTCTCTTTCCCCTTTTATTTTATTGTTTTTACATTTACTTACATCATTTTAATTTTCATCACAACTTTCCTGGCCACTTGTGTTCTTCATTGTCATATAGGTCATTCTTTTCGCTGACAAGGTATACCTCGGGATATCTATTTTTACCCCTTGAAGGTGCTCATTGAAATTTTGTTGTAGGGCTCTCAAGACATGGCTCAAGTGGTAGAGTACCTGACTTGCAAGCACTCAAGAATGAAGCCCTGAGTTCAAACCCCAGTATCACTTAAAATTTTGCTGTAGGAAATTGGAAATTTTTGTTAATGTCTTGGTTGCTTTATGCTATAATTTTAGATGAACCTTATTTAACTGGGGCATAAGGCCTTATTTCCAACTTTCACTACCAGCACTACCAAATAATTAATGAGTTATACACAAAGATGAAAATACACTAAAAGAACACTTACTTAAGGTATTAAACAGACACAAGTTATTAAACATGGGACTGAGCCCAGTTTGGTTTTGTACACTTTCACTTAAAAGTAGTCAGAGCCCCCAGTAGTACCAAAAAGGTACCACTGATCCTGTCAGGAAATCAATAACCACGGTTCCAGTGTTAATTTTTTTCTTTTGGCACCTTAACATTATAAACATAGCTTCTCAGAGCTGGGAGTGGTGGTATATGCCTGTAATCCCAGCTACTCAGGAGGAAGAGGTAGTAAGATCACAAATTCAAGGCCAGTCAAGGCTATATAGAGAGACCCTGTCTCAAAGAGATAAATAAATATAGACAAATAAAAATAACTTCTCAGAACTACAGTTTAAATTTTAAAAACTTCAAGTGGTGTAAGTTTCAGTGTCAGATACATTTTTTGTTTTGAAAAATCACCAGGTAGTATTGCTTTTGTGGCTATTTGTATATCTTCCTTGAAACTCTGAAAAGACTGTCTTAATTGCTACTCTGAAGAAGACAAAGTATAACCTAATTTGTTTAGGAAAGTAGTCACAAAAAGCGGAGACTGTTTCAAACAAAGATTTAAAAGGTCTATGTAGTACCCTCTCCCTTAGCTACTCTCCTTCCTGCAGCTTTAAACAAACAAACAAACAAACAAACCAGGCCTTTGTTTATGGTGATGGGGATGAACCCCAGAGCCTTGTGCATGCTAGGCAAGTCCTCTACCACTGAGCTACACTCCCAAAATCCTGGCCTTTTTAAGTAAAGGGAGATAATATGGAAGACTGCTCCCCCCACCAAAAAAAAAAAAGACAAAACTTTCTCAGTGAGGGAAAATACAACACTGACCATTTTTAAATGCTCACTATTTGCTAAGCACAATTCTAGACATTTTATACTTAGGGTTTCATTTACTCCTCGACATTACAGTTAGTAAGATTATTCCTTTTTATTTAATAGGTAAGGAAACTGTGCTTTTTAGAGGTCAAGTATTTAATACTTTACCAAATATCCTTCAACTTGTAATGCAAGTTAGTGGAGTTTCAACCTGTATGTATCTAATTTAAAAGCCCAAACTACCAACTTTGACTAAATAGGTATATTGTTTGGTAAAATAGATTCTATTATTGCAAATATGATTATCAAGTTGTACCAACTGTGCTGTTTTGGAACTGTTTTCTTGTTCACTTCTGGCACAGGGTGAAAACTCGGTTTGTTGAATGAATAAATGAACTCTATTCTGACTAGTTTAAAATACTTTATAAAGCCAATAAAATAGGTATTAGCCAAGTCTTACTATAACACAAAGGGAAAAGAATGAAAGCATTAAACAACTTAGCAGATCTCCCAGTCACACAACTTTTTATTGAGTTCCTACTGTGTACCAAGGAAAATGGCACCTACTAGTAATATAAGGGGCAAAAAAACAGTCAAGAAAAATGAAAAATTGTAACTTAATATGGTTAAGTGCTGTCAGGGAGAGATCCACAAAGTGTTAGAACACAGACTGCTGGCAATCAACTCAACCTGTGTGGAAGTCAGAATGGTTTCACCAAGTCACTAACAGGGTTGTACAGAAAAACTGTTCTCCAGGCAAAGGAGGGTGAAGAAGGAACAGAGAAGGAAAATCTTTCTATGCAGAGGCTTGGAGTTGTACAGACACATGACGGAGTTCTGTGTGGCAGAATCTCTGGGTATAAGCATGCATGTGTATACTGTCCATACGAATGGCAACTATAAAGACAGATTGAACCCAAGAAAGATAGGTCCATGATCTCTCAAAAGTAAGAAATCTAGATTTTATTCTGCAAGTTAACAGGTCAAGAAAGTTGAAGGGGTGGAGGGATGGCTCAAGTACACAAGGTCATGAGTTTAAATCCCAGTACCACCAAAAAAAAAAAAAAGTCTAAGCAAATGTGAAAAGAAAGTGGCAGTACAACAGAAAATAGAATGGCGTAGGGAAGGGACATGAAAGAAAAACAGTCCCTGGGAGAGTGTATAAGAAGTATGCTACTTCTGAACTACAGAAGTAGCAGTAATAAAAGAAAGGACAATTCCGATATAGGATGAATACGATCTGGTGGTCATTTGGAAGTAAATGAAAAAAGACAAAATAAAGATGACAAGTTTTCTAGTTCAGGACCTTAGGAAGACAGTGAAAGCAGTAAGATTAAGACTATGGGAGCACTTCTGGCAGGAAGAACAAAATGAACTCTACCTTACACCTACAAGACATACAACTTGGGGGATGCACATTTGCTGGCTTGAGGTCACAGGAATAGCCAACTGCTTTCCTGTGTCTAGGATGCAAAGAGAAACTAGTCAATTCCCATAGTTATTAGCTCTTCTCTGCTCTGACTGCTCTCAAGATCCCATGACCCTGAGACACATAAAGAAGACCTTTCATTCTCATCCCCAAACCCTATTCATGCACCTCCCACTCACAGAAAATTCCAAGAAGTAAAATGGATTTTAGCGGCTCCCTAATCTTCCTTCCTTCTAAACAGACACCACACAGAAATTCTAAACATAAACACTTTTTTCTCTATCTCAACCAAATGAACAACAAGGTTCAGTTAAGTGATGATTAAAAAAAACAAAACAAAAACGGGGGTCGGAAGTAGAGCTCAGAGGTACAGCTGCTTGCTTAGCATGTGTGAGGCCCTGAGTTCAATCCCTAGCACTCTCCACCCAAAATAAATCTAGAATGCTAATTTATTAATTTATAAGAAATAAAACTATCAGGGTGAGGGGTGTGGCTCAGGTGGTAGAGCAAGGCCTTGGGCTTGATCACAGCACTGTTCAAAAAAAACTGTCAAAGAAATTGCTGTCCTCCAAAGGATGAGCCCATTATCTCCCTGAAGGCAGACATTGGTGGGAATTTTAAGCTCTTTTGATCTGACCCCTACCTTCTGAAATAATTGTCAAGAAATCAAAACAGTAATTAATTTAACCATTGATTCCCATGTCTTGTTTAGTAAAACAAAATAATGAGGATGGGCAACCATACACAAAAAAACACATTTTTGGCTGCAACGTGTTAATCAAGATAAGCAAAAGTATAAAATAACTGAAGAGAATGTTTCACTAACAAAGGACATGTTCAAGACAAGGCAAAAGTCGCCAAATGTTTTAATTATGAATTGTGTCAACTGTTACAAAATACAAGGACTCAAAAAAAAAAAAAAAAAAAAAGATTGGGCTAGCAGAGTGGCTCAAGTGGTAAAGCGCCTGCCCACCTGGCAAGCATGAAGCCCTGAGTTCAAACCCCAGTACCACCAAAAACAAGAAAAATTGTTATAAACATAACCGGGTCGAAATAAAGGACGACGATCAAGTCAGATCCGCCCCCAAACTTGAGAGAGCAAAGTAAGTGATGGATACGGAAGGACCACACAAAAATAATCTACTGAACGTAGGATGAACGACACTTCGCTCACGGGGAGGGAGAAGACCCACAACCCTTCCCAGGACCCCAGGAGTCCTTCATCTTTCAAAATCGGGCAAAAGGAGGGGTGTGGAGAAAAAAAGGGTGGAGTGGCACGCCCGTGCGAGCCGTCCACGTCTCCTGACTGATGGCAGCGGGGACCAAACGGACTTTCCCAGGGTCCCCGAAAAGCCCTCCCCCCTCGCTCCAGCGGTTACCTTCCATTTCCTCCGTCTCCATCAGCATATCCTTGGTAAAGTCTGAAATATGTCCAGTAAGGGAAGCCAGGCTGCCCCCGACCTGACCCAGAGACTGGCCCAAGCCGGAGCCGAGGCCCCCAAACCAGGACGACATCGCTGCGGGTTGAGAGAAACGACCTGCTCCGCCCAGCGAAAAGCGTCCAGCGTCGTCGGATGACCCCACCAGCTGTCCTCGAACCGCTACGAACTAGTCCTCAACAAAGCCTCGAGATTCGAAAGCAGAACGCGGAGCTGCTGGCAACGGCTGGGGTCCTGCCTTGGAAAAACCGACGCCCGGCCCGGGACTTAACCGTTAGTGACAAAGTCACCTCCGCGGGGCTTCTGCTCATTTCCTCGACATTCCGCCGCCCGGGATGGGTCACTTCTCCCTCAGCTTTAGGGACTTTCCCTAGTTCCGTGGGCTGCCCCTGCCAACTCAACGCTAGCCGCCATGACACCGCTCGGAAAGCGGCAGTGGGTCATAGAGAGGCGCCGCTGTGGTGTAGAAGGGCCCTGCGACGCCGCCGGACGTGTCCTTGGCGCAAAGGACGATGGGATCGCGGAGGACCGAGTGCCGGCCGACCAGACTGGCGGCCTCCACGTAACCTCCTGGAGGTGTCGGGGGAGAACTGGTGGCGTCGCGGAGCTCGGTACCAGTGCAGCTGCGTTTAATACGTAGAGCCGACCCTGGTGGTGCTCCTAGAAGCTGGCGTGGCCCGGGAACCCTGAAGACAGGTGTTGGGAATGTTTTAATCCAGTCTACACCGCGAGGGGAGCGGTGCGAGAGACTTTGCGGAGTCGTTCCGCAGCTCAGGAAGTGACTTCAGATAACTCATCCCGCGTCACTTTATCGATTATGCAGCCTCGGCGGAGCTGCCCTGTGCCGGGCACTGTGAAAGGAACCGAGGCTGCAAAGCTATGAAGAGAGGCTTGCAAATTCAAGTCCGGATCGGGGACAGGATTTTTATTATCTTGCATCGTAGAAATTTCCTCTGGTGTCTTTTCCAGGTCACAATTGAAACTCTGTCTTCTTTAATATGCAATCTGCCTTACTCACGAAGCCGACTTCCATGAAGTTGTACAAGACAACCTTTTCGCAAAATGACTTACTTGAGGGCGGCAGGACAACTTACCAGAGAAGAACTTCTACGACGTTGGGGGCGCTAGCTGGGCAGATGCTACCCCTCCCATGGTCCTCAGGTGCACGCCCTGGTTGACACACTCCAGTGTCCCGCGTGTTTGCGTTCCTTACTAATGGAAGAAAGGTTGTCGGGTGAGTTTCAAGCAGTTGGTGCAGAGACCCTGGCCAGGGAGACTGCCACATTTTTGTTTTGAAAGGATGTGATAGATTTGCAGTTCTTTTAGACATAGCACTAAGTATAGTGGCATCTTTCTTTGATTTTATTCACAGGAGAGGCTTGCACTGTGTGGGGGGGACATTGGGAACCTCTCCAGTATTTGGAATCTGATGGCACCTCCTGAAATCTGCACACTTTAAATAAAATTTGCATCTCATTCTTGAAGTGCTTATTAAATGCTTTCCATGAGTTTATTTGAAAGACACCATAGTCCAGGGGTTAGTTGTACAGAGTTTGGGTCTAACTGCCTGGATCTGTCACCTACTAGCTGTGTGACCTTAGAAAAGGTCATACATCGGTTTCTCATATGACAGAGAATTATAACAATCATGCTTACTGGGACGGAGGTAATATTTTTAAGGGCTTGGATCAATGCCTGGTACGTAGTGATTTCTATTTGTTTGTAAGGGGTTTTTTTTGTATTTTTTCAGTATTGGGAATCAAACCCAGGTCCTTGTGCATATTAGGCAAGTGCTCTACTACTGAGCTCTATTCACAGTCCTTGGTTTTTTGAGACAAGATTTCACTATGTAGCAGGTTTGCCTTCAACTAAGTATGTAGCTGGAGTGTGCCTTGAACTCATGACCCCCTGCCTCCACCTTCTGAGTGGAGGGTTACAGGTGTGCACCATTACCCTGAGTGCGAAGTTTTCAATGTACAAATAATCCTCAAGTTATTAATGTATCTGCCATTATTCTGGGCACTGGGAATACATTAGGAGGGAAAAAAACCAAAACATGGTGTCCTTGGTCTCACGAAGCTTGCATCCTAATGTGAAGGCCCAGATAACAAACAAAATTAATAAATGTAAGGCAGATGGTGATGACTGCTGTTGGAAAAAAAATAAAACAGGGTAAGGATGATATGGAAATGATGTGGGAAGAAGGCGTACTTGTAGAGAGGGTGGTCAGGAAAGGCCTCACTGATAAGGTAATCTTAGAACAGAGACTTGAAGGAAATGAGAAAGTAACACATATGGGTGTTTGGGAAATAGCATCCAAGTTCAAAGAAAGACCCTGGGAGCAAGAGAACCCTTGTCAAATTTGCAAGAAGGTAAGGATGGCTCAAGCAATGAAGAAGAAGAAGAACATGAAAGGGGCAGATAACTAGGGCCTAGAAAGTCATTATAAGGGCTCTGGCTTTTTACTCAGTGTAGGACGGTGAGTGACATGGTCTTAGGACCAAATTGAGTTCCTGGATGACAGTGAAAATTTTAGCTATTGTAATTGAGCTCATATTTCCTATAGGTATATATCCTCTGGAGTCCCAGAAATTCACATGTGCCATAAAGTACTGCAATTAGTGGAAAAAGACACAAATATAAACCTTTGGATTATTTATTAAGTAATTAACAAAAAAGCTATGCCCTTAAGAGGAATTTTTTTCTGAGATAGAATATGGCCCAAGAGAGTTAACGTATTGTCCTAATAACATATGATGTCTTTGATATACCTCAAAATAATGGAGGGCAGTGTACATAAAACAAGAATTGTCAGAAATCCATCATTATGGAAGTTGATGAGAAATAATTTATTATACTAGTCTTTTCTTTCACATATGCTTGAATTTTTTATAACAAGTTAAAAGACACCCAAACTTGATATATTGGCACTGAAGACTCCTTTTCCTGTTAAATATCCCTGTAGCTAAGATGGTGTTCATGATCACTCAATGAGTAGTAAGACCAACCCAACACAATCAAGTATCACATCAGACAGAGTCCCTGGAGCTCATGGCTCCAGGTCATGTGGTCCAAACTTCCCAGGTGAAATCTAGGGTTTCTGAAACCTCAATGGATAGAAACAGGAAAAAAAAAAAAAGTCAAAAATACTGTCAGCTGCAAGCTGGCTCCAAGTCTCTCTCTCTCTCTCTCTCTCTCTCTGGTAACTCAGGCTGCCCTCAAACTTACGATCCATCTGGTTTCCATTTCTGAAGCAGTGGTATTATCAATGCTTCTCTGGGGGAAAACAGTTCCCTTGTACTGAGAAAATCATCTAAATATGTTTATGCAAATACGAAGCAAAACTTTCATTTTTTTATCACTCAGTGAACCCTTTCAAAAGCCATGCCTTTTAGTTCTGCAAATTATTTAAAGTATTTTGTATTGATGATTATCTCCTCTCTAAGGAAACTACTGTTTCTTTAAAGTTGTAACCAAGCCTAATTCCAGTCATTTCCTCCCCAACCCTTCCAAGATCCTTGTTGCTCTCATTTCCTGTGTACAGCTGGGCACACTTCTCTTTGGCACTTCGATTTGGCTTCCTGGTTCTGCTCATTCTTGCATCAGCTTTTCATCTTCTGAACAAATGTTAATATCTGTCTTTGGCTTGTTGCCTCATCTGGAGGTCACTGCTAATTGTTCTAGTTCCTAGAAGTTGAACTCCCACCTTTTACTTGGATGCCTGGATACAGCAGAATATGGCAGGACCTCTCTTTACGGTTTTCATGTACCTCACTTCACAGCCGTCACCTGTGTTTGCTGCTAGAGGGCTGCCTTCAGGCTGCCATAGCCTATGCTGCATGAGTTTTAAAAGGAGGAGGCTCCCTCGCCTGGGAGGTGTATATACTGCTTCTCAACCTGTCTGTGGAATGAGGCTTTGTTTAGTAGCATTCCCTTGTGTGGCTACCTTTCCTTGTCTCACTTTTTTCTATACCCTTTCCATTTCTTCCTCAGTTTTTAAAAATCATTTTCACAGAAATTCTTGTCTCAGGATCAGTTTCTAGAATCCTAAATTAAGATGATGTTCACCCCGAATAAAAACAACTTTGTAGCTAGGAGTGGCTATGTAATTAAGTTCTGACCAATGTAATATAAGTGGAAGTGGTATGTGCAACTTCAAGTAGGTAACCCTAAAAAAAGGGCACCTGGCCTTCTTGCACCCTACTTTCTTTGATGACTGGGATGCAGATATAATCACAGGTACCCTGGCAGCCATCTTAGACCCACGATTTGACCTTAGCCATGGGAAACATACACATAAAGCAGTAATACAGAAAGAGCAAACTGACATTGTGATGCTCTGTCATCTCTGGACTGGCATTTATTGAAGATGGAGGGGGGGTGGGAACCCAACTTTTTTTTTCATTGCGGTACTGGAGTTTTAATTCAAGGCCTCACACTTGGAGAACCCAACTTTTAAACTTACTGCTTTATTAGGTCTTTCTATCTTCATACAGCCAAACCTAATCCAATAAATATATCTCCTTTCCTGGTTGCTCTGTATTTTTGGATTCATTTATTTTTCTTTCATGTAGGTGGAGCTTTGGAAGAAAGCGAATACAACGATCAATCCTCTATGTTTTTTATTATGATACACAGCATACAACTTACCATTTTAGCATTCAGTTCAGTGGAATTAAGCACATTCACATTCTTGTGTAATCACCATCATTCATCTCCAGAACTGAATCTCTAAACTCCTAAACTGGTTAACTCCCAGTTCCACCCTCTAACCACCTGGCATCCACCTTTCTACTGTCTGTCTCTATGAATGTGACTACTCCCAAGAACCTCAAGCAAGTAGTCATACAGTATCAATCTTCTATATTTAAGTGGAAGCCCCTGGAAGATGTTTGAGGTGATGGTTCAGAGAAGCACTTTTTGCCTTGGGTCTAAGGAAGTAGAAGGGATTTCAGCATTGGAGAAAGAGCTGCTCCTGTGCAGAAGAAAAACACAGATTTTTGAAGAGAATTAATCATTTGGAGAAGGTCTGAAAGCAATGGGGATGGTGTAGGACCTTCTCCTTTTCCCTCCTGGCCTCCAGCACTGGGCCTGAGCCACTGTTGAGGGGCAAATGTCAGAATCTGACAACTGTTTTCTAAGAAACTCAGCAGGACTCAGCACAAGCAGAGCTGTTTGGGGCCCATGTGATGATAGGTAGCTCAGGGGTAAGGGCCACTTCACTCTGCTCAACCTGGAAGTTAGTACCTCTCTGGTGCTCAGGAATTAGACACTATTGGTCTTGGTATTTTTCTTATTTTGTAATAGGTTATTGCTACTACATAAAAAGCTGTTAGTCTTTCTTCAACAGCTGAATGGATAAGCAAAATGTGTATGTAGTCAATGGAGTATTATTCAGCCTGAAGAAGGAAAAAGATTCTATAACTTGTGCTACAAAATGAATGGACCTTCATCCTAAGTGAAATAAGCTAGTCACATAAAGATGTGTGATTCCACTGTCATTATTAGTACTCATAGCACTAACGGCCAGGTGCCGGTCACTCATGTCTGTAATCCTAGCTACTTGGGAGGCTGAGATTGGGAGGATAGTGGTTCAAGGCTAGCCTAAGCAAATAGTTTGCAAGACTCCCATCTCCAAAATAAGCAGAGCAAAATGACTCAAGTGGTAGACTGCCTGCTTTGCAAGTGCAAAGCCCTGAGTTCAAACCCCAGCCCTACCATCCCCCCAAAATCATGACTAGTATGTTTTGCTTCTCATAGTTAAAAAAACAATTGAGCAAACATTTCAAATCAGACTTCAAAAAAAACATGTTGAATTATCTTGGTAAAGATTAAGGAGGGCTGGGGATATAGCTCAGTGGTAAAGTACTTTCCTAGCTTGTACAAGGCCTTGGGTTTGATCCCCAGCACAGCAACTACAGAAGATTAGGGGATTGGTGAAAACAGACTGTCTGGCAGGAGTATCAGTGAGCGCCCCTGGGCTGCTTCGTTTATTGCTGCTGCACCAGAGTGCTTCTGGGGCTTCCCATCCATGATTCAGTAGGTCAGAATATGGCCTGACACTGCCTTTGGGAAAAGCTCTGGGATGATACAGATGCAACTGGCCCTCCCATTGTACTCTGAATTAATAAACACAAGAAAGTAAATAAAAAAGCAAACATTATCTTTATTTAATAATCTTTGATATTTAAAATACAACTCATTGAACATCCACAACAAGAAAACCCTCAAGAGTTGAACAGTGCCTTGGAAGCCCGACTTTCCAGAACTAGAGGGGAAGGCCTGTGCGGAGTAATGGCAAACAACTCTCTCAGAGAGGGGCACAGCAGAGCAAACAGCACTGCCACAGTGCATTTGCATCATGGTCAAAACACAATGCCTTCTATTTCACATGGTTTTTGTACTTGAATTTCAGATATTTTATTTATACAGAACAGTAATTATTAAAAAGTTATTCCTAGTAGTCCAGTGTTGTTGTAGAAATTAGATAATCACGTTTCAAATGAACATTTTCCCCTTTCCAAAAAAAAAAAAAACAAAAAAACCCCCAAAAAACTCCAGTAAACATTTCATCTTTGAACTGTGCAAGAGACAACCAAGCACTTCCTAAACAAATCAGGAATTTCCACATACATTTCACTAGTGCTGTGTCTATGGATCCCAGTTACCATAAATGTATAAGTTACGTTTTCAGCATTAATTCTTAAAATGCCAGACTATTTTGGGAAAAAATAGCAAAAATATTCCTCAAATTAAAAAAGAATTGAAGAGCTATGTCAAAAATCTTTTCATTCATGAAAGACTCAAACAAAACTTTTTATTATGTATAAGACTTTAAAAAAATACAAAGCCAGTTCATTTCTTTAGCAAAAGATGCTAGTTATAAAGAGATTAGGAGTGAAGGAATTTTTATTTTGAATATGAAAAGTAAAAATTATTTACATTACTAAAGTGATTAGTTGATCCAATCTGGTTTTCCTAAATTAAGTTCACGAAAATCACATCTTTAAGCTTGTTGGGGCTAAAATGTAACAATTTACCTTGAGAAGGTGCTGGGGATGAACCCTGGCTTTGCCTGCACGCTAGGCCTACCACTGAGCTACATTCCCAGCTAAACATTCACTTTGAAAACACTGGCCTAAGGCCTCTCCCTCCAATTGCAGATCAGGTTTTTAGCATTTTTTTTGGGGGGGGGGGTGCTGGAGATTGAACCTAAGGCTTTCTTGAGCACGCCAGGTAAGTGTTTTACCACTGAGCTATACCCTCACGTCTGCAGATAAAGTTTTTAATGATGGTCTCAATATTAATTATTGAATCCTCCTAATAATTTAAAAGATCAAGATTTTCCAATTTAAGATTTTTAAGTTATCGTATATTATACACGGAAACTTTGTATTTGCACAGGTCCAATGGGCCAGTTTTAAGAATTCGGCAACTCTTGGCACTGGCATAACTTAAAAAATAGTATCAAAATGTCAAACATGTAGACATTCAAAATGTGATTTAGGCTCTGACTGGAATAAAATTGATTTCATTCAACTTGATGTGAATGAAACAATACAGACATTACTTGCAGTTTTGCCTGTAGTCATGCTCAACTAGTTTGAGCTTTCTTCCTCCATTAACTTTGGCGTCATTGAATAAAGCCTTAATTAAGAAAAATCAAGTTTTAGAGAAAAAAAGCACCTCCTTAAATAAAATATTTTGTGAATTGTAAATTATTTGGCCAAGATCTTAATTTAATATAGTTTACCTGCAACTGTTTCAAATAATTTATATTACTGAAATATTTGTATGTTAATTATTATAAAAATGTACATTAATGATTTCAGATCAGAGGCCAACTACTATGATTTTTAAAAACATAAATAACTACTTATTAAATCCATGACATCTGAAAATATGAAAGTGGTATTTCCAAAGTTTGCTTCCGCTTTACTTACAACACTAGCATTACCACTGTACATATTTTAACCTAGTGATACAATTATACATTAGAAAAATGATACCAGTAGTTTAAATATTAAACATTAAGTGTTCCCAATTGGTAAAACAGAATGGAAATCTTTATAAAGTTCTTAGCAGGACAGTGTTACTACAGTAAATGGCAGTTCCTGGTGTATGAACTATAACTTTGCATAACTTAAATTTTTTGATGCTATGGTTATAAGAATTGGCATCTTTTCACACTGGCTAATCAACTAAGAATGGAATCTACACGTTCAGATAAATTTAGGCCAATTCAAACAAGATGAGAGTTCAAAGGTGATTCTGGATCTGCCTGCCAAATGCAACAATTTCACAACAGAACAGAAAAACATATTCAAACATCCAGTGTATGCTCAGATCTGCTTTAAAAAGTTTCTAAAGGCCCACATGCCATATTTTCTTAAGTAGTTTTCCTAGGGGAGGTAATATATGAACTTTATAAACTCTAAAATTAAAACTCTGAAATGCACATTGGTTTCCTCATTTTTGTATTAGGTAGTTCTTCAAATGTATGAAAAGATTAATGTAACTTCACAAAGGGAAAAGGCAGAGGCAAAATATCCATGGAAAATATGGCCAGCACACTGGGATAATTTTATCAGTAGTCAGGGTTTTAGCTTTTGAATCTGGAGGGAGGAGTCCTAACTCCAACACCCCTGGCAGATCTAAAGTTTTTTAATTCTTTGGAAACATTTTCAACTACTAAAAGAAAACTTAAGATTTTAAAATAAAACTGCCTAATATTGTGTAAGGGAAACTTCAGTAAGCTTTAATTGGCACAAAATAATTTAAAAATCTGTTCAATCCAAGAAAAACAGCTATTTTATAACCACAAAAATATTTTTTCATCTTTCATTAGCAATGAATCCTAGATCAAAACTCTTTCCCTGATAAAAATGTATGTAGCCACATACCAGTAGGCCAGCACACCATACTTTACTTTTCTAAGTTGTCACCTAAATTATCTTCTTGAGTTTTAGCTTATGTACAATTCAACATTCAAAAGGGCTTCAAGATGGATGTGTGTGTGTGTATGAGAGAGAGAGAGAGAGAGAGAGAGAGATGGAGAGAAGATAACAGAGCCTGAAACACCCATTTCAGACAGACATGGTTAATTCTCACAAAATCATGCCACTATACTGACTCAGCAGGACACTCTCTGTGCATCCCAAGTAAAGAATGTTATCAAAACTAAGGACTTCTTTACTTACAGACCTATTCAGTACTGTGACTTCTGGAATTTTTAAGTTACTTAAATATGATGCAAGTGTGAAATCAGCATAAATTTAAATATATTTTCATGTTCCAGATTGCTCTCTGGCAAGCCATACCTACTAAAAAACATTCCAGAACCCAGCTATAAATAGAACACAAAGCTCCAGTCACAGAAGAATAAATAAAATGAACCCACCACTAAACTTGAAGGCCCAATTTCACCTATGACACATTCCTGGTGGGTCTGCACGTTAAGTCTTGGAAGGAGATTTGCTTGCATACTATGTGCTTCCTACTTTTCTCAGGTGCAGAAGAAATGAAGCACAGGAGAAAGGGCTGCAGCAAGGCTGGAAGGTTCTAATATAATTGAAAGACATTTGGAAAGCACATGCTCATTAAACAAAACAAAACCCTCATTCTCCAATATGTGTGCAGAGCTGATTTCAGCATTTAGGAATGCATCAAGGTCATGAAATAATGAGCTAATGATCCCATTGTGGAGGGCTCAAAAAGCAAAATGTCAGAAAAGATTACCATCTTTCAAAAGGATTGCAGGAGAACAATGAAAGGCAGGAAACAGAAATTGTAATAGAGAAAAACACACAGGGAAAACATCCAAGTGCATGATACGGTCAGGGGAAGAAAGGGTTAACCTTCTGGAACCACTATTATAATTAACACAGATAAGAGACACTTTCCTGAAAGGCTAATTTGGTGAATGCGAAATAAAAGCAATTATTAGATGATGAAAGTCAAATTACCTACGACAGAAGAAAGAAAAAAGAAAACAAAATGTATGGAACAAGTTCTGTGGCAAGAGCTAATTAGTTGGTCTCCAAAAAGAGCCAAGAAAAATGCCCTAATTTTAGACATGTTAGATATTGCACACTCAACAAACAAAAAGGAACATGTGAAAACTATTTTCAATTTCTTTAATTGCTGAGTGTCTCTTTGGCTAGTATCTGGAGGATAATTATTTAGTCCCACAGCTGACATTGCTCCACTCTCATCATTTTGTTTGCAAACTACCTAACTGTCTTGTTTCCTCTGGTGAACATTGTTCCCTTTGATACATTACTGACATGGACCCTATGCTGTAATCACACAGGACAATGTTACAAAGTATGAATAATTAAATGACTTTTTAAAGGTATTATTTTTTTCTTTCTGTTTTCAAGTTATTTTTAACAGTTTCTAAAGACATGGTCACAGCTGCCTGAAGCATTTCTTCTTCACTCATGGCATCATCTGTTGGGAAATAAAATACAACATTTCTTAGAATTTTCTGGAAAATTCTCAGTCATCAAAAGGTAGAATTTTAGGAAATGCATTTCTATTTGAACAGTTTTCCTTTCTGGACTTGTAAATTCACAAAGTAAAATTCAGACTTTTATAGTTTTAGAATCTTTGATACTGCTTGGAGTTGAATAACCAATACCAACACCAAGATACAACCATTCTATTGTCCCCTATGTTCCTCTGTGCTGACCCTTTGCCGCCAATCCCAATCCCAGATGACTACTGAGATGTTCTCTGTTCTGCCTTTCCCTGAAAAACATGTAAACAGAACCATAGGACAGGTGAGAGCCTTGATCATGGCTCGTTTCACCTAGCATAATGCATTTGAGATTTACTATACTTATTAAAAATTCTTAAAAACCCTTTCTACTTTAAAACAGTTGTCAATTCATAGGAAACTGCAATGGTAGAGAGGTCCTGTGTACTATTCAGCTCAATTTCACCCAACAGTTTATTTATTTATTGTGGTACTGGGTTTTGAACTCAGGGCCTAATGTTTGCAAGGCAAGCACTCTACCACTTGAGTCATATTTCCAGTCCAAAAGAAAGGCTTCCCTGATGGAAAGTTATGCCTTTTATAACTAAAAGCTCAAACCCAAATCCTGATATTGACAATTAGCACAATGTTTATTGTGTAGTTCCATATGACATTTTGTGAAGCGTGGATTCATGTAACCACTGCCACACTACAGATGACTTGGAAGGTTGGGAGTGTAGTTCAGTGGTGGAGCACTTACTTGCCTGGCCTGCCTGCGGCCTTGGGTTTGATCACCAGCACTGCCAAAACAAACAAATGACACAGAGCTGTTCCAGTACCACAAAGAACTCCCTCCTGCTGCTGCTTTACCTTCATACCCACCTCTCTCTCCCACCCACTTTCTAATCGCTGGCAACAGAACACTATTTTGTTCTCTATCTCTGATACATTTGTGATTTTTATAATGCTACAGAAATGGAATCATACATTTTGAGGCCTTTTCACTCTTTAAGTCCAGCATTAAAAACAGCCTTGAGAGCCATTCCAGTTGCTGCATTATCAACAGTTTCCTTCTTAACCCTTAAAGTAGTTTAAACATTACTGTTTGTTTAAACATGCCTATTGTGTGACATGTTGGTTTTTCCAGTTTCTGATTAAGACCAATAAAATTTCTGTGAACATTCATGTGCAGGTTTCTGCATGAACATACATTTTCATTTCTCTGGGATAAATGCCCAAGAGTATAAATGCTGAGTTTTTTGGTCAGTATACATTCAGTTTTAAAAGAAACAGCCAAATTATTTTCCAAAGTGGCTACACCACTTAAAAGGAAATGTAGAAAGCTTATGTCCCTTAACCTTCCCCCATTTATAAAATAATTGCCTTCAGTATTTCCTATATAGATAATAAGAACTAAATAAATGTAAATTTTATTTCAACGATATGTTATTCTAGAAAATTCAAAAGGAGGGGAATGTGTTGTGTTTACTCATCTTTTATTCTTTCTCTTGTTCTTTCTTCCCTTCCAATATTCCAAAATTACTACATCATTTCTTTTCTGTCTCAAGAACTTTCTTTAGCCATTCTTTCAGGACAGGTCTGCTGGAGATGAATTCTCTAGAAGACAACCCACTGCATAGATAATTCTGGGTTTAAGAGTTTTCTTTGAGCACCTGAAAAATGTCACCTACTTCCTTCTGGCCTCAAGAATTCCTCATGAGAAATCTGACTTTTTGGGTTGGTTATTTTCTTGCTCATTTCAAGACTTTTAGGTTTTTCCCTTTGGGTTTCAGAAGTCTATGATGAGTCTTGGTGTAGATTTCTTTAGGTTTACCCCTAATTTGAAATTCATTCAGCTTCTTCACTCTGTAGGTTTCTGTCTTTTGTCAATTTTTGTTTTGCCTTTTTTTTTCTATTTTTTTCCTTTTTTTTTTGGTGCTGGGAACCAAACTCAGGGCCTTGCACTTGCCAGGCAAGCGCTCTTCCACTGAGCTAAATCCCCAACCCCTTTTGTCAATTTTCAACCATTGCTTTTTCAAAAGCTCGTTCAGTCTCATCTTTCTCAATTCCATTGCAGATGCCCGCGAGTTACATTTTTTGTTACAATGCCACAGGGTCTCTGAGGTTCAGTTCATTTTCACAGTCCATTTTCTCTGAGAGTGCTGCTCAAATGGGTAGTTTCTACAGTTCTGTCTTCACGTTCACCAACTTTTTATGTCTGTCTTTCCTATTCTGCTGAGTCCATTCACTGATTTTTTAAACTTCAGTTGTTATTTTTCAGCTCTAAAAATTGAGCTGTGCACACCTTTAATCCCGGCACTCAGGAGGCAGAGGCAGGAGGACAATTTTGAGGCCAGCCTGGGCTGCATAGTAAGACCCTGTCTTTATTAAAAAAACTGAAAACAAAACAAAACAAACAAAAAGCACATGGTTCTTTATTTCTTTGCTAGGACTTTCTACTCTTTAGTTTGTGTTGAGCATGTTTATTGAAAGTCATATGAAGCATTTTTAGGATAGCTGCTTCAAAAGCTCTTACTGGGCAATCCTAACATCAATGCCATCTAGGTGTTGGTATGTACTGACTGTCTTTCTCTTTCAAGTTGAAATTTTTCCAGGTAAAATAGTGATTTTCAATTGAATCCTGGGCTTTTGGGAGATTGAGGTTATGAATCTTATCTGAGTCTTCTGTTTCAGAAAGCCTCTTCTGACAGCACTGTCCTGGCAGTCCAGGCTTCCTCAAAGCTCTGATGACAAGGGTGGAGGTGGCAGGGGTGATCACTACTGACAAGCACACATGGGAGTTCTGGCTCCCCGTTAGTCATTCCTCCACTGCTATCCCTGACTGGGAGGGAGAGGTGGCCTCCTTACTGCTGGTGTCAGTTATCACCTTAATTCTCCACAAGGCCTCTTTTCTGACACCACCCATGTGAGGACCAGAGGAAGCCCTACTTATCAAAAGGTGAAAGTTCAGGCTCCCCACATCCACTGATGCCATGGAAAAGGCATTACCTCCTTACAACTCCCCATGCAGCTTTCTCTGTCACCATCCAGAGAAGATACACCAGGAGAGATACATCTTGTTACTGCCAGGCTGGGGTACAAATGTAGGTTCTCAATGTCCCTTCCTGATGGGGTGTGGGAGCTGTTTACTTTGTGGTACTGGGGAGCTCATTCTCTTTTAAAAGTTCTGGCTAGAACGAGCAGGCTTTTCTCTGGGTCTGCACTCACCGCCATCTGTCTCCTCTTGCCTGAGGTCCCTACCCAACCTGTCTTCACTCTCTCTCTGAGATTCTTACTGTTTTTTTTTTAGGGTTCCTTTTGGTAACTCAGTTGTTTGTACCACATTGTGCATCCATTCACTAATGAAGGTCAAGGCTGGCATTGTCAATTTGGGGCAAGTATGAACAAAGCCGCCATGAGTGTTTGCAGGGAAGCTTTTATATAAACCTGTTTTCTTTTCTTGTTGGTCATATACATAGGTGTGGAACTCTTGACTCATATGGGTAAGGGTACATTTAAGTTTATAAAAAAAATGCCAAACTATATTTCAAAGTTGCTGTACCATTTCACATTTCCTCTATCCATGTATGAGAGTCCCAGGTGCTCTGACCCTTGCCAGCACTTGCTACTGTCTGTTTTATTCTTTCCTCAGTCCATGGGTTTTTGTTGCTCGTTTGCTTGTTTTTGCAGTACTGGAGACTGAACTCAAGGCTTACAACTTGAGCCATGCCCCCAGTCCTTTTGTTTTAAGTTTGTCTTATACTAACCTTGCCCTGGTAGCCTCAACCTCAATCCTCCTACCTCTCCCTCCTAAATATAGGCATGTGCCACCAGTTCCTATTTGTTTGAGAGAGGGTCCCACTAACTTTTGCCCAGGATGGCCTCAAATGGAGTCTCCTGTCTCCACCTCTCCAGAAATGAGACTATAGCTGTACACTACCATGCTTGGCCATAAAGTAATTCTTGTAAGTTTGTATAAGTGTAGCTTTTTTTTTTTTTTCCGTACTGGTATTTGAATTCAGGGCCTTACACTTGCCTAGAAAGTGCTCTATCAGTTGAGCCAGTCCTTTTTGCTTTATTTATCAGATAGAGAGGGCCTCATGTTTTTTTTGCCTGAGCTGGCATCAGACCTCAATTCTATTAGCTACACTTTCCCCATAACAGAGATTATGGCTTGGTTGAAATGGGGTCTTATTAACATTTTTCTCTGGCTGGCCTTGAATCTCCTATCTCAGCCTCCCAAGTAGCTGAGATTGCAGGTGTAAGCCACCATGCCTGGCTCACTGTGGTTTGAATGTGCCTTTCCGAAATGACTAGTGATCTTGAGCACCTTTTCACATGCATATTTTGTCATCCCTATATCTTATTTGACGAAATGACTTTTCAAATGTTCACCCACTTATTGGATTCTTTTCTTCCTTTATAGTTTTTTTTTTTTTTTTTTTTGTAGTACTGGGTTTGAACTCAGGGCTTTATGCTTGCTAGGCAGGTACTCCATTGCTTAAACCACACCTCCAGCCCCAAGTTAAGTAATAACAGTTCTTTTTAGGTTCTCCTTGTAAATCTTTTGTCAGATTTAATTTTTTCATTTAGCTTCTACTACCAATATTTGGTCAAAGTTTAAGACCTAGAAAACCAACGCCTGGTGAGTAACTCTGTATTTCCTGTTGTTATCTGAATTATACAAGTGTTTTTAGTTTTCTAAAAATGTACTTATTTCTACCTACTAATGTTCATTATCTCTGGAGAACTTTTAGAGAATGTACTAATTAAAATGAAGTTGTAAGTACTGTTTATAATTTCAAAGCCAACTATTCATTGAGTGCTCTATCTCTAAAGTAGCCTGCTCTTCAGTTCAGGGAAATTTAGTAGATTACAAATTCAACTTAAATGTTTTAGTAAGATTAAAGAGGGAAGGAAAAATGGAAAGCAAAAATCACATGGAACCTGTGAATCAAACAAAGCAAGCAAGTAACAGGATTTTGATACTTGTACCTAGCTTGCTCCCAAGTCCTCCTGAACTTGTGCTTGGCCTCTGTCGTGGATGGGAAGCCTGTCCTGGTGGGTCTACCTGCTGCTGCTGCTGCTGCCTGAAACATTCAAAGTAAATATATGTTAAAAAACAAAAACCAAAGCCTAAGAATAAATACACCATGAGAAAAATCTACTGGCATGGAAAGTAAGTTGTTCCATAAACCGTCATTGGCATCAGCACCACTAAAGGCAAGAATAATTAATCAAATAATTAAAAGCTTATATACAAGTTTTTTTTTTTTTTTTTTGTGATGAGACTGTGCTTTGAACTCAGGGCTTTGTGCTTACAAAGCAGGTGCTCTACTGGTTCAGCCACACCTCCAGTCCATTTTGCTCTGGTTAGTTTGGAGATGGGGGTGGGTCTCACAAACTATTTGCCCCAGCTGGTCTCAAGCCACATTCCTCCCAATCTCAGCCTCCCAAGTAGCTAGGATTACAAGTGTGAGCCACTGGTGCCCAGCAAAAGTACACAAGTATTTTTTCAATAGAAGAGTGCTCACCCTAGGAATCCTAGATATAAAATGTGAAGACTACACAAATTAAGAGGTATTTTTCACCACAAAATAACTTGTACAACAAGATTCACTGGTAGTTATTTTATGCAAATAAGCGTTGCTGTACAGATCCTTAATATCGTTAGAAGCCACTGAGCAGTACCTTTGAAAAGATAAAGCATCTCCTATTACCATGTAATCTTTCCATGACTAGTCCTCCCTGTCACTTAGGTCTGAGCTTAACTACCTCCCCAGAGATATCTCTCCTGACTACCCCACTTCAAGTAGCCACCTGGCATATCATGATTTCATTTTCATCCTCAGTATAAACTTATCACCACTTATTTTCTGTTTGGCTTCTACTTTCGGATGTAAGCTAGCAAGAACACAAATCTTATTTTGCTTATCTATTCCCCAGTGCTAAAACTGTGCCTGCCACATAACACACAAACACATATCCATCAGATACTTGAATTAAAGAAATGGAGCAATTATTTAACACAATAATCAATATCTTGAGCTTTCAGTAGTATCTATCACATTAAGTTCTTATGTATTTTTAAAAGTAAAACCAATGTCATAAAAATCCACACATTTCAAAATACTTGAACAGCACAGTTATGGTATAAAAGTGTAGGAATGAAACTGGGCCCAGTGGTGCATGCCATAGTCCCAGCTGCCCGGGAGATAAAGCAGGAGGTCACCTAAGCTCAGGAGTCAGGGACTAGCCTGGGAAACACAGTGAGACCCCATTTGCAAACAAGACAGAACCTGTAGGAAGACTGTATACTTGTACTTAGAAAACATACACTGAAGCACTGAGACACATAAGAAATAATGTACATTATTCCCAAATGCTCCAGAGTGCCAGCGACTACAGAACCTGGGTGCAGGGCATTGAAAGGTGTAAGGAGCTCTGTGTACTATTTCTGTTTTCATGCAAATCTGAAATTTCATATATATAAACTCAAACATAGAAAACTAAAAAACAAAACTTATCAACAACTGCCAATCTGAGAAGCCATCAGTTAAAAAAAGGGATGCAAAGACTTTATTCTACTTTTTTTCATTTCTTATTTTGACAGGTAATAGTTGTGCATATTTATGGGGTTATTCTACTTTTAATTAATTTGTGAAAAATAAGAAAGAATCCAGTTGCCAGCCTTGAACTAGCACCTTCCAGCCTTGATGACAATGAGTTGGAACATGTCATCAGCATCTACTCCCAGCATGCCTTGGGTTTTACAGAGGCTGCAGAGCTAAAACCTGCATGTCTTACACTCCTTTATGGTAAGATTCTGGTTGCAAATTAAGCACTTGTACAATACTTAAAGGGCAGAAATGAGACACAGCTACCTTGGCTGCTCTCTGCTGACGAGCAAAACCATGGAGCAACAGTCCCCAAATCCCATGCCTCATCACTGTTGCAATGGGGGCCAAACTTCATTGGTCTCAGGTCTAGGTAACCGTGGAAGTGGCTTTCTAACCTGGGATCCCAGACATAAGCTTCCTATCCAATCCCCCAGTATCCCAACTGCACAATGGGTACAGCTCTTCCCCAGGCTAATCTGCAGTACTCTGGAGACCTGGCCTAGAGCAGCACTTCCTGCTTTTCCTAAGGCTGTAAGCCCCTACTTTCTGTGTTAAATAATTTTCTGCTTAAATGCCTTAGTAGTTTCTGTTTCCTAAACTGAATCTTGTCTGGTAAATTATACCATGCCACTGAAGTGATAACTTAAGCATTAGGCAATCCATGGCCATGAAAACAAGTGTTTGAATTCTTCCTCATTGAGAAACACTGTTTCTCTCAGGAGGAAGGAGCTGCATCATTTCAAACCTATCCCTGGAGAAGACATGAATGACACAAATGAAAACCTGTAGAATATCTCACAGTTTTCAAAAAAGTTTTATACCCATTGTTTAATCTGATGCTCCTAAACACATAAATTAAGGCAGGTTTTAAAGTGACATACATGGCTGATGTAGTAGTTTTGCTTGGGTTTCTTTTTTTGGCAGTACTGGGGTTTGAACTCAGAGCTTCATGCTTTCTATGTAGGGGCTCTTACCACTTGAGCCACTCTGCCAGCCTTATTTTGCAATGGATTTTTCTAAACAGGCACTCAAGAACTATTTGCTCAGGGCCACCAGTGCCAGGCTTGTAATAGGCAAATTCTTAACACCAGTTTTTGCCCAAGAAAGAAATTCTAGAGTGTGCTTTATGTGCTACTACATTAAGTATGAAACTTTAATACTCACAGGGGGGAAAACATGAAACTGTATGAACAGCAATTAAGTATCAGGGGCAGTTTGGGGAGGGTAAGAGGGAAGAAGGTGTTAGCCTGACCACCTTAGAACCAAGTGCCCAAAGACAGAAGCTAGAGACATAGGGCCCGCTTAGTGTAAGGAATCAGGAATCTTGGTGAAAGGAAAATATTAGTTTCTCTGCTCTTCTTCTAATGGGTTTTATAGTTTTGAATGCCAGTTAATGTTAAAAATAAACACCAAGAAGTTAGCTCTTACTTCTCAGCAATGTATGACTATTAAAAATACTCTCTAGATCTTTTCAAGTTCTCACCAGCTAAAGGTCAAACCAGGAGGCAGATGATGAAAGGCTACTGGTAGTCATCTTCAATCTGTAAGCGGCTACCCTCCAACTGGGAAGGAAGCAAACATCTTCAAGAGGGTATAAGGTTGATCAAGATATCTATTTACTAAAAAGCACTAGTTACTGCTTTTTAATTGTGCTTTTTACAACTTACTCAGTCATTAGGAGGTGCCACTAAATTATCTTTACTAGTATAAAAAGTAAAAATTCATTGGAAGATTCATATTTTTAATCCAAAAATCTAAAAAATTATTTTTTTAAAAAAACTATTTTTTAGGCTTTACATTTTTAAATGTTTTCTTTTCCTTAGGTGTACTTGTGAATTTTGTAGTTTTCCTATAAAGTACATCTGTTTGAGGTCTACAAAAAAGGTACTGTATGTGTGGAGGTTACTTGGGTGGGGGGGGAGGGTGAACAAAGGAGATTAACGTGAGGGAATATGGTTGATGGGCTTCATATGCATATACAACACATAACAATGAAACCTCTTGCAATTGCTTTAAGTGGGGTAGGGAGAGGGTTGAGGGGGAGATTCTATGGGGGAGAGCTAACCAATGTACAATACAATACTTGGAACTGTCACAATGAATCCCTTCTGTACAACAAATATATCCTAATGAAAAAAAATTTTAAAAAGAAAATAAATTCTTCTAAACTTGTTTCTAAAAGAAAAAATAAAGAACACTTGTTTGGAAAAAGTCTGAAATAAGCACGGTAGGTATCAGTTAAGAACTATTCTGGAAAGCAATTTAGAAATCTGCATCAAGGCCTTAAAAGTGATCACATCCTAGAATCCACTATCTGACATCCTCAGAATAATTAGAACAAATGATGAGCGATTCAAAGCACAGAGTCAGTAGAAGGATTTTCACTGTACTGTTAAATCATAGTAGCAAAAACAAATTATGAGACATTCATTCATTTATAAAAGATCATGCAACCTATTAGAATATTTATCATCACAGGAAAATGGGTATAACTAATATATAGTACATGCTTCTGTGTGAGAAGAAAATGCACCCACAACTAATATTAGTACTGAAGGTTGCCATGGGAGTGTGGCTTCTTTTAATCTTAGAATATCTTGAAATAAATTTTCTATAATATTAGTTTTATCTATTTGTCTTGTTATTTTTGATACTGACTAGATACTTTTTGATAAAGAATTGTCAACAATTATCATGTGATTATTATTGTATGACAATAGCATTTAGCTGTATTAAAAAAAATCCCAAGCTGGGCATGGTGCTGCATGCCTGTAATTCCAGTACTTGGGAGGCAGAAACAGATCTCGAGTTTGAGGCCAGCCTGGGCAAGACTCTGTCTCCAAAAAAAAAATCAAAAAAAGAGAAAAAAAACCCATACATACTAAAACAGTTGTGAATTAAGTAATGTGATGACTGTGATTTGTAATAAAATAATTCAAGTGTGAGGGTGGGAGAGTGAAAGGAACCAGAAGCCTGAGACTGGCTGGCCATGGGCTGTGGGCAATGTATAAACGGGTTTCTTTATGGTAGTTTCTCTGTGTTTGTATACATTTGAGGTTTGTTATAATTTTTAAAAGTTGCTTTTAAGATTTAAAGGAAGTAAAAAGCACTAATAGGCACTATTTTAAAATATCCATTAATCTATCACTGAATAAAGACTAGAAATATCTCACATTAAGAGGATGTCAGCTGATCAGAACATTCCTTCATATACTTCTGAGCTGTGACTTAAAAAAACAGAAAACAGAAAAAAGGTAAATATTATCTTCATTACACCATCAGATTTGAAATGCTCCAATATTTTAGATATCACTCATACTGTCAGTTATGACTGTAAGATGCTTCTTCATTTCAGAGATGTTCAAATGTGAAATTGTGTGCCTATGTGTTGATGAAGCACAGTAAATAACAGGCCAGATCAACCACTGGCCTCCTGTTTCTGACTGCAAATCAGAGGATCTCAGTATCTACTACAGATCTTATAATTGGGCTGGAGGAGTAGCTCAAGCAGTATAGCCCCTGTGAGGTCCTGAGTTCAAGCCCCAGTACCTCCAAAAAAAGAAAAGAAGAAATGCACGTATAGATCTTATAATCTTTAAATGTAGTTTAATTTTTCTTTTAAAAAAATAAAGGAAAAATGACAGTAACTAGAAAGGAAGATACTTTTATGGGGTGAAAAATTCTCCTTTATGAGCACTTATGAAGCTGGGCACAATGTGTTTTAGGACCTAAGATTTGCTCCTATGCCTCTGAGGCTGATGGGTGTGCAGGCCCTCTAAAGTCACATGGAGCAGGACCAGGAACCACCACCTCTATCTGGGAGTATGCACCTCTATGTCAAATGCTGTTTTCCTATCAACTAATAAAAAAATTTACAGGGTTAGCAGGTAACCAAGAAGCACATTCAAGGAATAAACAGGCATTGTTCTTCTCTCACCCTAAGTGCATTTTCCTTTTGAGAGACAAAATCTTGTAAGGTTTCCTTTATCCTATTTCATGTAAATCTGTCCAAGACTGGGGCTCAGTTTTTCCCTTAAAACCGCATTTCATACTTTGTTTTCTATGAAAATTTAAAAAATACATTCATATGTTCACAGAGTCCAGGCAGCAACCAGTCACTTACGAATAGACAAAATAGCCAAATATCAAATATACAACTTTAATTTGTACCAACTACTTTACTTTTCAAAGTAGGCTTCTCTTCTCTTCCGCAGCTCTTCTGAACTAAGATTTATACCTGATGTCTGTGGAATATCTTGAGATATATTTCTGGAACTACCTGAAAACAAAATAAAAGCAGAACAAATAGCAATCATTTTATGTTCAATTCAAGCAATGACATTTATTGCTATTTGAGCAAGCTTTTTAAAAATTACCCTCTTTAAAATACTCTGCTACTTTTCTATAAATATAAGGCTGTGAAAGTCTTTGGGAAACCTGATTAAGGCATTTCAAATCTAACATGTATCTGGTGCAACCAACATTGATGCAGTAGCTGTGCGAATGCAAGCCCAACAGCTAACCTGGCAAGAGAAGTCATTGCCACACACTCGTGCTGTCTACGTTACTAAAAATGAATCTATGGCTGGAGGAATGGCTCACGTGGTAGAGTGCTCGCCTAGCAAGTGCAAGGAGTTCTAACCCCAGTACCACAAAAAAAAAGAAAAAAAAAAGAATTTATACCTTCAAAGGGCATGATATTCCCCAAAGCAACTTAAGGTGGATGATACAACAAACTCATTCTCTGTACACACCTCTGGTCTCAACATCTGGGTATATACAACAACTTAAATGTTTCCGTGTTCTCACTGATAATATAACCAGAGGTTCGACACAAATTGTGAAATAAAGTGGTAAGAAGAATGAATTACATAAAAATAACCAAGATTATAAAAGCTGAGTTCTGGGCTTGCTGGCTAACCCAGCAGGGCTCCATGATCAGAATGGAACTGCACGCCACAGGGGTGCTCAGGGCATGTCTCAAGGCATGAGAGACTCAACATAAATAATGTTCATATTAATGGGATCTTAATTACATTTAGACATTTAAGGAATTCAACAGATGAATAATTTCATTAGAAAGTAGAAGCAAAGTCATATGAATTAGATTTTTTAAAACTACAAAAATAAAGCACATTATACTTTTTTTGGAGGTACTGGGATTTAAACTCAGGTCCTCAGGTTTGCTAGGTGGGAGTGCTACCATTTAAGCCACAGTCCCAGTCCTTTTTTGCTTTAGCTAATTTTTGGATTGGTCTTGTGTTTTTGCCCAGGATGGGCCTCAGACCTCTACCCTCTTACCTATTCCTCCTGCGTAGTTAGTATTACATACATGTGCCATACACAGTTTGTTGGTTGAGATGGTGTCTCACTAACTTTTTGCCCAGGCTGGCTTCAAACCATGGTCCTCTTATCTCTACCTCCCAAGTAGCCAGGATTGCAAGTGTGTACCACCATGCCTTGTCATACTTTTAAAGTAAGTTTCTTTGAGTTGCATCCCACAATTTCTCTCTGCCTGCATTCTTTAGGGGTTGTATATTAACTCTCCTCTGTCAAGGAACACATACCACTAAAAAACTGGGCATAGGACTTCATTGCATACCCAGTTAAGTGTTGGATTTTTGTCAATTACCAAATCAGTTTCTATTCTCTGTGCAGAACCTCCTATCATAACTAATGGTGTACACGTATGAAACAGATGATTTACGTAAGGGTCATCTGACCCCTACAAAGACTGATCTCAATTTACTGTTGTATAAATTACAGTATTTATAATTCACTGCAAATGAATTATAAATTATAATTGTAAAATGGTAATTATATCAAATACAGCTAATACGGTGCTAATATAGTACCGGTTGTAAAAGGGATTTATAAAAGAAAAGCTAATTTATGAAAGAAAAGCTGATTGTTATTGCCAAAGCATTTATAACAGAACATTAGCTTCCAGGAAAACTCGAATGATCTGAATTAATTCTTCAACAACGAATAAAGTGCTTATACCTTGCATACTGAGTTGAATAGCCCTGCGGAGATCTGCCTCCTCATCCTCCATGTCGATTTCCTGGCGACTTAGTGCCAGAGCCCTCTGCAAACCCTCCTCCTCTTCATCCAATATTCCTGACCCATCGTTTGCTTCCAAGACTCGTTCAAGGTCTGTCTGAAGGACTCTGAAGAACAGAAACACCATAATAACTACAGCCTAATCCTCAATTTTAGACATAACATGCACAGGCATTTGTAAACTAAAGGTTTTAAGTCAGTCAAAAAAAAAAAAAACAGTTTTGGGCAGACAAGGTAATATAAAAACTTTGTTGTAATGTGAATCTAAGTTAATTTAGGTAATTCAAAGAGTTAATTCAAGCTGATTCAATAAACTTTATTAAAATATAAAGTCTAGATGGATACAGTGGTATATGCCTCCAGTCCCAGCTACTTGGGAAGTTGAGGTAGGAGGATGGCAAGTTTGAGGCCAGCGCTTAAAGCCCAGAGTTCAATCTCCAACACAGTAAAAATAAATTAAATTAAATTGATTAGTTGAAAAACTAGAGACCAGGGGACAGCTCAGCAGTAGAATGCTTGCCAGGCACACCAGAGGTATGATTCCCAGCACCACCAGAACACAGAAACCCATAAAAGTATGTAAGTTGTAAGAGAGAGTCGCCAGTGGTAAGTAAAGGACTACACACTTAACGTAAGCATGGAGATTTTATTCTCATAATGAAACACTACCATGTGCTCCATCCTGCAGGCTGGATGTTTACCTCTGTTCTTTCAGTTGTGCTAATTCTTCTCCAATAAGTTTTGGTCTGTGCATCTGTTGGACCCTGATCATCTGCAAAAGTTGGTCAGCTTCACAATCTGGCAGATCACCCTTAACAACAAATATAGAATAACCTAAAAAAAAGGCAAAAATAAACTAAAACTACTAGTAAGAGACTCAATATTGATTTAAAATGACAGCAAAAAGGCCACATATGACAGTGGGAAAAAAAAATAAGCTGAAGATTCAGAAAGATCTGGATTCAAATAAAGATTCTCAAGAACTTGTTCGGAGATTCTAGCAGGGGAGCACAACCACTCACATGCCCTTGACCAAAGAACGGTCCTCCTCTATCAGGGAAGGTTGTCCTCTTCCAGCAAGATGCAGCTTCAGGAGGGACACACATGGAGTGGTGAGGGAGAAAGGGGACACCTGCCTAGCTAGCCAGATCAACTGCATGTTCTACTTCTTACATGAACTAGTACGGCAACTCTAAGACAAGTTATATAAAGTCTCTGAGTCTCACTTCCCCCTCTGTAAGATTGGAAGCATTGCCTCAGAGTGACTATGAGGAACAAAGGAACTAATGTCTGTAAGGCCCTACAAAGGCAGTACTTGACTAGACAGCTTACTCTAAATGGTAACAGAGATGCAGGTAAAGGAGGGGTAAGAACAAAGGATTCGGAATGGGACTGCTTAGGTTTAATCCCTGCTCTGCCACTTCCCAGCTACATGAGGTCTGAAAGTCATTTTACTCATCTGTCTTAATTTCTTCAATTGTTGAACAAATGACAATAGAACCTTCCTCGTAGACTGATGCAAGCAAGCACAGTCAGATCACTTGTGCAATCATGGTAAAGTGGGTAAATGAGTCACCTGTGGAAATAGCTGCTCTCCTCCTCTGACTCCCACCCACATACTCAGCCCTTCAACTGAAAACAGGAGCTGGGAAGCCAATACCCCAGATCTAGTCAAGGTATTCATGTTGTGAAAGAATTACACTGGTCCACTGTAATTTTAATAAACATGAACATAGAGGGCCAGTTTTCTGAGAAGGCAGAAACTAAGAATGGGTTATACCTAAGTCAGTCTAATCAATTTAAGGTTTTTCTTACATAAAGTTTTCTTTTTTTGTTTGTTTTTTGTTTTGTCTTTCTCTTTTTTGGTGCTGGAATCGAACCTCAGGGCTTCACACATGCTAGGCAAGCACTACACCATTGAGCTAAACCTCAGCCACATCAAGTTTTCCCAAATGTCAATGAAACAAAGATGAAAGGGACTATTAATGGAAAAAGAAGAGTACACACTTAACATTTTTATAAGGACAAGACAGATCCAAATACAAACACAGGCCATTATCATATATATACATATATGTAGAACATGTTTCCAAAAGAGGGAATGTTAGAAGACACTAATAGAGAAGGAAAAGAAGAAGAGAATGATGGATAATATTGAAATACATCACATCTGTGTAAGAACAAGACACAGTGAAATGCACTGAAAACTGCCGAACAATACAGGGTAAGGGAAAAGGATAAGGAAGAATTATAGGGGGGGGTTGACTGACTAAAGTACAACATATTCACAGGTAAAATACCAAGGCAAAACCTCACAGAACAGTGAATGGACACTTAAATAATAAAGGACAGAAATGTAAAACAAGTCATGTTAAGAAAAGGGAAATAGGAGGAGGGGAAGGGTAAATGAAGAGGGTAAACAAGGGTGAAATATGGTTGATGTATGTTCTACACATGTATAAATGTGGAACACTAACACCTGAAGTCATTTCAAGAAAGGGAGTGGGAGAAAGGAGGAGATTAATGGAGGGAATGACCTAAACAGGGGTACTTTGGAAATGTCACACCAAAACCTCCTGTATAACTATCATAAACTAATACAAACAGGCCATGAGGTAATTGTTAAAGTCAGGTAAAGGGTACATGGTGGGGAAGGGTAGGTCATTACATTATTTTCTCTCCTTTTGTATTTGTTTGAAAACTTTTTATAAAGAAATGTGTTTTGTTCCATTTAGGATTTAAATAAAGGGAAGACTGGGGAGGGAATACCACACTGTCAGTGCAGAGGTCACTGGTGACAATGAGAGCGTGTTCAGTGTCTTGCTGGTTACACAGCCTGACTGGAATGGATTCAAGAATAGAAGGCACACCAGAGACTATTTTAAGGAGAAAATGGGGAGGAAGCTAGAGTTCCATGGAGTTGAGAGGCTTTTTCTTTTTAATCAATGAAGGCAAAAAGCTTCTCCACTGTTAGGAATTTTCTTTTTTAAAGAGGGGGAAACTAATCACCCAGGTGAGCAGAGAGCCAAAATCAAGAGCATCCTGAATAGGTAGGACAAGCTGGGATCTAGCCTACATGGACAGGCTGGTCTGGTTAGATGCAGGCTCAAAGCCCAAGTAGAGATATAAGTTGACAGATTTGCTAGTAGAAAGATAAGGAAGTTCTCTTTTAATTGCTTCTGCATTCTCAATAGAATACAAAGGAAAGCCATAAGGAAGATGAAAAGAAGGGAGATGAAAAGTAGTAGTTAGAGCTTTAAAGAGATAAGATGTGGCATAATCACCCTGGAGAATGGCACACGAAATTCACTAAGAAAACATCATGCAGCACACCAAGGGCTCATTTGAAATCTGTAATTATAAATAAAATTTAATACCAACAGATTTTATATTAGTTTTTAGCCATGGTCAGCTGTGATGGTACAGGACTGGCCAGAACAAGAATTTGGTTTTAAGTGGAGTCAAGATTTTTGTCATTTAAGTATGATGGAGGGAGAGAAGGGGGAAGAAGTTGAGGAACGTAGTGGGAATGATGATGACAATGGGTCATAGAAAATAAGCAGGGTAAAAACGGAGGTAAGAGTATAAGGAGTGTTTGGGCCATGGAAAGATGTAAAGAATTGTAAAATGGCAAAAATGGAGAAAGTGTGACATACAGAAAGTATGACATACACATGACATGACAGATAGGAGAGAGTAGTTAAAGAACAGGATGTTGACAGCAGGAACTTGAAGGTTTGAAGGTGTTATGGGAATGGCAAAGGAAGGTGAAGAAAAGGATCTGTGAGAGTAAGAAAGAACTGGATTTATTATGATGTAGAAATCACTAAGAACGAGAGAGAGAGCAAAAGAGTGAAAAAAAGAATAAGGCAGATCTACAAGTGTGCAATGAAAAGTGGAAGAAGAGTGGCTAGAAGAGGCAAAGAGGAGCAAGAAGAATATACACCCCTCCTCTCATGTGGGAAATGGAAGGAAAAAGCTATTACTCAGAAGGGCTGCAAAGAAAGACCCAGACTCAGAGGCTATGTTGGTGTCAGGAAGCGCTAACACTGAACAGTGTCACCCAAACCACAGCCCAAAGTTCACCACCTAAGGTATAAAGACGATAACCACCACTGCCAGACAACTATCTCGCTGTGCTCACTATACTCACACCTATACGACCCAGTTGTATTTAGTTACTTAAAAGATACCACTACAACATTTTCAGTCTTTACTTACCTTCTTGTTGTAATTGAGCCAAGAAAAGTGCAAGGTATGTATCTGATATTAATTCCGGACCCGTCAAGAGAGAATTCAAGTTAAACCACTGGAGAAGAAAATGTCAATAAATTAGCCTACATTACAGTAATAACAAATTTTCACAGGTTAAGAATAGATAGCTACGCAGGAGGCAGAGATAGGAGGATCACAGTTCACGGCCAGTCCTGGGGGAAAAAGTTAGTGAGAGGCTCTGTCTCAGAAATAAACCAGGCATGGTGGTACACACTTGTAATCCCAGTTACCCAAGAGAACTGTGGTCCAAGACTGGGTGACGTGGGAAAAAACCTGCAAGATCCTATAAAACAAACTAAAAGCAAAAAACAAAACCAAAAACATTAAAAATGCAGCAAGATTGTCTAAACAGAAATATGTCAAACTGAGATTTTTAAAAAGTACTTAAATAATGTGATTTTTAAAAAATTGAAATTAAATTGCTGGATGTTTGCCACTATTAGATGCTTTTTTTAAAGACAAAAATTTTCTTTCTTTCTTTTCTTTTTTTTAGTGGTACTAGAGTTTAAATTCAGGGCCTCATGCTTGCTAGGCAGAGGCTCTCCCCTTTGAGAAACATCCCCAGACTTCTTGCTTTGTTTTTCTGAATAGGGTCTTGCTTTTTGCCCAGGGCTGATCCCAGACCTCAATTCTCCTATAATGTGACTCCAGTGTAGCTGGGACTACAGGTAAGTACTACCACATACAGCTTATTTGGAGAGATGGGGTCTTGCTAACTTTTTGCCTACGCTGGTCTCGAACTGCAGTCTGCCTCCCAAACTCTGCCTCCCAAGTAGCTTGGATGACAGATGTGAGCCATAGTGTGCAGCAAAAATTTCTTTTAAGCCATAAACTTTAATGGTCCCCAAAGAAACTGATAGTACTTTAAAATTTACTGAAAGCTACAATTAAATCTTTTTTCCAAAGTACCAGTCCAACAGAACTAATTATATATCACACTGATGTGGAAAAAATGACAAGGACACCAAAGTTTCCCACTACTGATAATTTTGGTTAAAACACTCCAATTTTGAGAAAGTCAACACCGCAGGAAGAAAAGTTGTAATCTCCACCTCGTCACTGAGCCACCATCACAGGTAATTCACAGCATTTTGCCATTACTTCATGACCCACAGATACAAAACTTTCAAAAGTTACTGCCCAGAATCATGAGCAACTATTTTTCCCTAGATTTTGACATTGCTGATATTACTTTATGCAGTCATCGCCTTCTTTATGCAGAGACCTCAAACAAAGATTCTAAAGTGAAAAATCTAATTTTAAACAAAAATCTAAATCAGAAACAAAGGCACCAAATAGAAACATGACATCTGTATTTGTCCAAGATAAATTGGTTAAAAATATGAAAATTCAATTTCAAAGAGCTAAGTATTTTATAAGTCTCAATATAGTAAGATGTAAGTTTCCCTACAAGTTGACACAAAGGGACTTGTGGAATTTTAAATCTTCAGACCTTAAAAATATGGTGATCACTTCATACAGAAAAAGAATACTGGGCCATATTTTTCTAAAGATATTCATAAAACCCAGAGGGGTTAAATAATCTTGGCAGTCTCCTGCCCTGGTTTTTCCCAGAGTTGATTCTGGCTTGAGTCAGTCTCCAGTCAAAGCCTCTATAACACACCTCCTTTTGTGCTCTTAACTTCTCAGGAAGGACCTTAAGGAACTTTATTTTATTTTATATCTTTTTTAAAATTTTATTTTAGTGCAGGGGACTGAAGCCAAGACCTTGGGCTTGCTAAGCACATGCTCTGCTACTAGCCTGTAGTCCCAAGCAATATTTATTTAAGAGGAGGCTGCTTCCAGGTGACTGACTTAAAAAGATAACAGCAGGATTTTTGTTTTGAATTATCTTTTATTGATTTAAGCCAATGTGCTTGTTCTTGACTTCATATTCTTTTAATTTATTCAAACACCTTTATTAAGGTAAAACTGACATGCAATAAACGACACATATTTATAGTGTACACTTTGAAAAGTTTTCTCATTTGTATACATCTATGAAACCATTAGCAACCAAATAGTGAATACATTCATCATGGCCTGCTCTCCTGTGCCCTCTGGAGCCTTACCCATCCCTGCACTCCCTCCTCATCCCCTCATCGCCTCTGGTCAATTTGCTTTGTCATTATAGGTTAGTTCCCAGTTTTTAGACTTTGAAATAAATAAACCATATAGCATATAGTATTTTGTGTTGGCTTCTTTCAGCATAATGATTTTGAAACTCATCCATGTTGCTGCATGGGTCAACAGTTCATGCCTTTTTAATGCACAAGCTGGCTTTTAATAACCCTACATCGAAGATTTAAAATTCTAATAAAAAGGACTTTAAGTGATTCTATTTCTTTAAAAGCTAGCTCAAGACACATTCCATGTTTTTAATTGAAATGATTTTATGTAGATGTACGTATAACATGCCATTTTGAAATCATTTGAATAATCTTATTACAATAAAGCAAACATGGTTGATTTTTTTTATGTATGCTTGACATGGTTTTAGGCTTTGTGCCAGTACTGTGCTAAACACAAATCTATAAATGTGACAATTGATAGAACACATTCATTACACAAAACCCCACATAAACATAACCATGTTTGCATTGTCCTTTTTTTTTTTTTGGACTAGGGTTTGAACTCAGGAACTCAAGCTTGCTAGACAGGTGCTCTAACACTTAAGCCACTCCACCAGCCCTGCACTGTCTTAAATAATTTTTATTACAGTATAGCTAAATTATATATGATTGTCACAAATAAATCAGTAAGAGAAACTGACATTGTTGGTTTTTTGTTTGGTTGTTTTAACATTATCTCTTAAAATGGCAAAATTCTATCTACTCTACCCAAATTGAATTCAACCTAAATGTAGCTGAGCGAGAGTCCTTGTTTAGGATGCACAAGGCCCTGGGGATGAAGAGGGGAAGGAGGAAGTGTGGGAATGACTGAATCCATACCAACACATATTACTGATCAGTTTCATCTTTAAAGGCACTAATCCTCACATTTTAGTTTCAAATAGTACAGAATGGGAAAAAAGACAAGCAAGGTGAAAAAAGACGAGAATAAAAAAAATTACCTGTTTCCCTAATTTTCTAACTGTAAACCAGTGCTCTTTATAATTACATATAAATGATCTTTCATTTCTAGAAAAGAAAAAACACAGTATTAGAGTTCATATTCATTTATTTTGTCTACTAGTACTGCACAAAATTTTGATAATTTAAGGTATCACTGATTTTTTGAAAAAGCCACATGACTGTATAAAGCTGTCTGCACAGCTTAGTGATACTGTGCTAAAATGATAGATCCCCACGCCACTCAGAGGTCAGCTGTATGCTGCCGCAGATATTAGGGAGTCAGGAAGCATAGAGGGCAAGTGCTTATTCACACCAAAAAGATAAAATGGGAAAGTCTAAGAGAATGAAATAGGGAACATCAGAACAAAAGCATCAAAACTGTATTTTTAAATTATAACTTTAAAAATCAGATTTAAGAAAAGAAATGTAGGAAAAGGAAAAAGAACTCTTACATAGGATCAATCCTGAGCCTCTGATACTCTGGACTGTTGAACAGGATTAGTTCTAAACCCCAGACTTTCAAGGCATTGCTTATAACCTGTTAAAAAAAAATAGCAACTTTTCATGAGCTAAACCATTCAATTCCAAATTTAAGTAGCACAGCCATGTTAGTTGTGTAAACAATTCACTTCATATGTAAATTTACCTAGAAGATTATGGTTTTAAAAAATATCACTAAACCTATACAGAACTCTCACATATATACTTTGAAAGAGTGCTTTTTACAGGAGGTTTCTGAGACAGTCCAAATAATCACACAATTCCTATATAAAAACGCATCAAAAATCTAGAGAACACTAGGTGCCAGTGGCTCACACCTCTAATCCTACCTACTCAGGAGGTAGAGATCAGGAGGATCGCAGTTCGAAGCCAGCCTGGGCAAACAGTTCTCAAGATCCTATCTTGAAAAACCCTACACAAAAAGGGCTGGTAGAGTGGATCAAGATGAAGGTGCTGAGTTCAAGCCCCAGTACAGCAAAAAAAAAAAAAAAAAAAAAACTAGAGAAGTATTTCATTTTGTTCTTAAAAACCAGTCAACCACAGACATTCACCACTACCTGTAATGCTGTAATGTCAGTAGTCACATTCTATTAAAGTAAGTTCCCAGAGAGAAAATTCAGGGGGTTAAATCAAAGGCTTCATAGATTTTAGAATTCTATGGCTATGTATTGGGTAGAACAAAAGGCAGACTAAGAATAAAAGGGAAATTTCTGTAAATTCACTATTTATCCTTTCAGGTAGCCAATCAAGAATCAAGTGAAGCCGGTAGTATCACAGAAAAAGTGAACGCAACGTAGTGGTAAATGTGAACTACCAAGAGCAGTGCCACACACACAGGATATGGCGAGGGCTGGCCAACTCTGACCTCTGACCTCTGATCTCAGCTCAGCTGCAGTGGCCCTCACCACTGACCAACAGTGTGGCACTAGGAAGAAATGCTGGGGAATGAGAGCATGAAAGGGATATGTGCAAAGATACACATGTGCAGAAACAGGCTCCTCAAGAGCAGTCTCAAAGAACTTGGGGTACATCTCTAATTGTCAGAAACAAAAGACTCTCACCAAGTACAAAACAAACAACCACAAGGCTGGGGGTGTAACTCAGTGGTAGAGTGCTTGCCTAGCTTGCAAAAGGTCCTGGGTTCCATCCTCAGCACCACAAAAATAAATAAATAAATAAATAAATAAATAAATATCAATAAACAAGCACAGAATTAAAAGAGAACTATAGGGGTTAGGGGAAATGGCTCAGTGGTAAAGTGCACATCCAGCTTTCATGGGGGAAAAAAAAAATCCTGGGTGCTGGTGGCTCACACCTGTAATCCTAACTACTTGGGAGGAAAGATTGGGAGGATCAAAGTTCCACATCAACGTAGGCAAAAAAAAATTCATAAGCCCTCATTCTCAATGGAAAAAAAAAGCTGGGTGTTGTCACACACACCTGTCATCTCAGTGTTGGTGGGAAACTTAAACTAGGAGGACCATAATCCAGGATGGCCTGGGCAAAAAGCAAGACCCTCTCTCCTAACCAGAGCAAAATGGGCTGGAGGTGTGGCTCAAGTGGTGAAATGCTTGCATACAAAATTTTTAAAAATAGATCAAAAAGGTAAAGACTATAATAACTCTAATCCTGTTAGGCTGATTTAAATGGAAGGTTGCAAATTATTGTGTTTTCTCAAATTTATCCAAGAGATAGTAAGTTTGAAACATTGTGACTTGTTAGTATTAAGGTTATTAGCACCCAGATGTAAATTAAGTAATCTTTGTCAAAAAGTAATTTTTAAAAGCCTTCCTCTAAAATGAAAATTCTACTGTCCTAATGCTCCTATTTATCTCTATAAAATCTAGAGCACAGTCTATACACAGTCTATGGGAGGAACTCCTGAAGGTCACATCATTACAGCTGCTATCCAAGACTGTGAAAAGATATTCCACATCAACCATAAGCTGAGTTTACACAGTGCCTGGGACACAGAAGCACGCAGCACATGCATGTGAGCACTTACTTGAATAGAGAAAAAACCACTGTCATCCATATTTCCAGAAGGCTGCTGTTCATTTTGATGGGTAGTTAAGGGAGGCAAGGGGAAAGGATAAAAACCATCATTAGTGTGCATATTTAAAATAACATGTTGTGCATTCCCACTTACAAAGTTAAAAGCAGGGCTATAATTACGAAGTCAGATCCTTAGAGGAATGGTTCATCCTCCTCTAAACAATACCCATATATTTTTTTAAATGCAGTTTAGAGTTTAAAATCAGTACCTGTAAAAATGTGCGATAATCTTCACTAGTAACTCCTCCTTCTGCCATTCTCATTCTTTCTTCTTCATCTAGCTGGTGTGCTATGGAGGATAATTCCACAGGGCTAAAATATTCTCCTTGCAATAGATTATTCAGACAATGCTGAGCACAAAGCGAGCCTTCTTGCTAATATTCCCAAAAGAAAAAATTCAAATGTGATTTATTAAGCAGATTTGTGTGTCTTCTCCCAAAAACTTTAATTATACCAAACCTTCTAAGCCTTAGGCAAACCTGAGTAACAACAGGGACATGCACTTTCATTTGTCAATCTTTATTTTATAATTCTACCATTACTGGGTCTATAATTATTTAGTTATATGACTAGAAACTTCAGAATAACTTATAGTAAACAAACTTCATCTATCAAATCTCTTATATTACAAACACTTCTCTATAAGACATTTGCCTTTCTAATTTTCAGTACCTAAAATGAATTCATTTTTGGAGGTTCCTTGGCAAAGCACTAATTCTGAAAGGGAGTTTTAATCCCCAAAACATGTATTCTTTTAACAAAATAATCTCTATTTGGTCTAAATTCTTGTTCCTGGAATTTCAAATTTCAAGAACTGATACAAGTAAGAAGAATTCTGACCTGCATTAAGACTTGTAGCTCTAGAGCTGAGGCTCTCTTTAGTGAGCTCTGCTGAATACATACCCCAGATAGTGAGTACATGCGCAGAACTGTCCCAAATCAACGCCAGCTCACTCCTGGACAAGCCAGAAAGAAGGCCTGCATTCAAGCCCAGCATCTCATGTAGGGAGGGCACAACTTTCCATGGGCCCAGGGGTTTCTGGTGCTGGGCAGCCAGCTTTCATACACAACTGCCACCCTGAATCCAAATCCCGACAGCCTGGCACTGAGCAGCCTGTTTGTCACATTCCTCATCTTAACAGCACTGCTTTCCCATGCTGTAGGGAAAGGAAGGGATCCCTCCCTTGAGCACAAATCCTAGGTTAGCCTCTCTGTGAGGCAATGGCAGATGGGAGAATACTTCTTTTTCCAACTCTGGCTCGCTAATGCTGTCTTTCCCCAACAATGGCTGTTCCTTAACTTAACCTGCTTAACGTCATGTAATTTGTTCTGAGCAATGTTACATGGAAGATGGTGACCCCAAAGAGCACCATCTTGTAAGATACATATTTTTCCTGATTAACCAATTTTCTAGGAGCAAACTGTCATTGCTG